GAGCACGCGCTACAAATGGAGTACTTTTGATTTGTTTTGAAATTGTTATTCCAAAGTAGTTTCAAAATGGTCCAAAACCATGAAAATTGCAAAAAATCGGGAAAAATCAAAGAAACAAAACACAAATGCAAACACAAGTTGGTAAAAAGAAAAGCAAAAAAAGTGGAAACCGGGTCAAAATTGGTTTTCGAGAAGCACTTCGAAACACAAATTTGGTAGAGAATGGGTTTTCAGTAAGTACCTTGAAATAAAATGGGTACAAAATGGGTGTTCGAAACGGAAGTGGTGATGATGAGTATGATGTAACGACTTTATGGCTTGGCAGTTCCGGCATTGAGCGACGGAGCGGCTCCTCTGAAACCTCAGAAATGGCAACCTCACTTTTTCCTTGTGAACTGGGTGCTTCCATGATGAAGTGCCTGCAGTGAGTGTGCTTGCGTGTCTTGCAGTGCCTGTGATGATTGTAATGTTATGTAATTTTTGTTTTGATGTTCCTTGTTTGATGTTCCCTTTTAGTAAATTAGTTTGTTTATTTGTTGTTTTTTCCTCCTTTTTCTTGCATGTCTAAAATCTGGGTCCATTTTGTTGCTTTCTCCAATCCCATTTTGTTTAACCAAGATCACAATGGTACTCTTTTGCGTTGCTATTTGCACACTTTGTATAACGTTTGCATGACAGGTGCACTTGGTATTCATCTACTTATGTCATATATGTGTGCATAAACATATCAATTGTGCGCATCATGTTAAATGTGGATTCGACCTGGCCAAGTGCCATTCCGCACGAATTGGACAGCCGTTGAAATTGACAGGTGATGGACCTCTACGTGAGACCACCTGACGCTGAAGGCAATGTTGAAATTGATCAGACTCTTGGCGAAAAAACGTCGCTGGCGATGTTGGGGGAGCGAAGGAACCAGGGATGGTTATGGATGTTTTACATATGTGAAATGTTGTTTATATTTTAATATCCCTACATATCCCTACTAAATGGGGAGCCAAGGAACACAACTACCTCTACAGATCAATGGATAGTTTAGCTATGTTTAGCTGTTGAGTTTAGAGCCAGAAATGTCAAGCATTTTGGTTGTTGGGGGATGGTTTCACAAGTTTGTCTTGTTGTCATTGGACTCAGCAAACTGGCCGGGCATAGTAATTTCTGTTCCTTTCACGAAGATTTGGGATGGGTAAAAATCCATTGGCCCTCCAAAATGGAAGGTTTATTCCATGTCATTCCCATGACCGATTTGATGGGTCCATTCGGCACCTTCTCAACTTCCAGTGATGCTTTCATTAAAGCATCATCAAGCTATCTAGATTTACGTCACGCTTTCAGTATGTATACAATTGTATTGTGCATACCATAATATACATGCTGGTACACTGTCAATCATTGTAATGTTAGTCATACAAGAAAAAACAATTCCCCAATTTTACCACAATTCACCGCAACGGAGTTTCTGAGGACCTTCTTTGATGACCTCCAAATTGAGAAGGTCGGCCGGGCGATGCGGGATGGGGCGAGAGCAGCCAGAAATACTATGGAAAGCATGTCTTGGGTGTTTTGTATGATTGCACTTGAGCAGTTTTGATATGTTTTGATCATCACGTATCTTCGGAAATCGGCAGTTTGATGGCCACATTGCGAAGAAGGCCACCAGATTGGACGACGTGTTTGGTTACCGGCGACATCCTGCGACCCAGCGACGCTCGAAAGGTGGGTCACATGCGGCTCTTCCAGAAGTGGTTCAAGGAGCAATGGAATTCCTGAGCCCACAGCCATGCGCCGGCGCCAAGACTTGAGACCTCAGCTTCAGCCCAAGATCCGACAAGGTATAGTCCTATCATGTCCTATCATGTCCTATCCTCTGTTTATATTCAACACCATTCCATATTCCATGGCCCCAAAAAGGTGTAAATCCCCCCCAACAAAAAACTGTTTTTTTAATACCAATATCACCTCGGGGCCGGTGGGATTAGGGCCTGCGCAGACGTCGTGCTCTTCCCACTCCGTAGCATGTGAAATCATTGAAGGCATTTAAAGATGAGCAAAACCCAATGCCATAATACCATTCCCAATTGGGATTTATTATGGTGGTATTCCTTTATTATTGGTTGATTTGGTTGGTTAATGGGATGGTTTAGATTATTGGGTTTGCCAGATAAGATTCTATCTCTGGCAGTACATCAGTGACTGCGCCGAGACTTGCGGAGCTTTGTGTAGTTAGTTGACCGCTACACGCGCATCCGGAAGCCCCAAAAACATGTCGCAGAATAAGATCAACTTGATCCAACTTTGAGAGGCAGGTTGAAGAATGTTGAAGAACTTGGAAGCTTGGACACATCAGATTGAAGCTCTGTGTACTTCAATGATTCAATGATCTTGGATCAACCAGCTTATTTGTCAAAGGAGGTTGAACAAACCGACGCTCCCTTGGCTTAGGACACACAAGAAAATGTGCGAACGGGATTTCAAGGGTTGACATTGCTGGATGCAGGAGGCACTGGCAATTTAGGTGGATGTGATAGCAACATGTTTATGCAATGTCTATTCAATAAGGCAATATGTTTTCTGGATTCTCCTGGTGTCCATTGTGCTGATACTGATTGGGATGATTTAATGGAACATCTACGTCGGACACCCATGTTCCTTCATTTTCCAGTGATGGTGCTTTCAAAGTTGCTATGTGATGTGCTTTCCGGAATTCTTCCGATTGAACCAGTCCAATGAGATACAGTAAACTTACCCTCTGGTAATTTAACATAGCTATGGAAAATGGCCATAGACTTAGTTGATTTACCTATTATAAAACAAAATAAATGGTGATTGTCCATAGCTATTTTAATTACCAATGGGTATTCCATCTTATTCCAGTGGATCGCCTGTTGATTTCTGTTCTGAAGGCTCCCTGTTGGCTCCACACAACGGGCGCGTTGGCACGGGCGCGCGGGGGGCAGGGGCTGCGGTGCCACCATGAACCTTGGCATGGGGGATCATGGGGGCGAAATTTGGGACCTGAAGAAACACGCAAAAAACATGATGTTCATCATCTTTAATCAAGACTGTTGTCGCAATAAACTCAGTAAACTCAGTAAACTTGACCATACGAAAAAACCCAGACATACCAGACTTTAGCAAAGAAACTTTAACCAGAAAATTGTGGCAGAGTTGAGTTGGGCAGTGCTTGAGGCCCATCCAATCCCATCCAATCTCCAGATCCCATCATCAACCCCCATTGGACAAGCGATTGGGATGGAGGGCTTGCCAAGGCCATGGGCTCTGTAGTGACTTGGGGAAGATGCATGAAGATGATGTTAAACATTGTTAAACCCATAACCGTGGGAGGCTTAAATTTCCTGATGTTTCTCGGATGGATTTTTTTTTTCTGGTTATGATGTTATGGGAGTTCCAAATTTGTTCTTCCATGTCTTGAATGGAGTCCCAAATTTCTCGACAACACAAGATCCAGAAAACTGAAAAGGCACCCCTGGCGACGCCAAGGAATATATTTCGCTTAGCCGGCGATATGCTGCATCCTCAGAAGTTGGATATGAGTTCAACGCTCACCCAATGATGGTGTCGGATATCTGGCTGAGCAGAATCCAGGCCACCCGGGAAACCCAGTGTCTTGAGGCTACACCTCACGAGCATCATGCTGCTGCTTTGGCATCTTGTCTGAAGGTATGATGGTTGTTAGCAACCATATTTATATATATATTTATTGTGTCCCAAAGATTCCAAAACTGAGAATACATGGATACTCATGGATACTCTAATACGCAAACAGTCCATTTCCACACGAAACTTGGCCATACCATGCCATAGCATGGTGGGATATGCCCTCCGCTTTGGGACCCCCCTTGAAATCACCACCAGGAAGCTGCACAAGAGCAAGAGCTGCGTGGGGGTGTCTTGCCGGATGCAGGAGAAGCTTCAGTAATTGGCTAATTGGAGGGCCCAAAGGTTCCATTTTAGACAGATTGTCACCACGCTGAATCCAGGCTTGACAGATGTCAAAAAACCGCAGATCGCAGAAGGCAGCTTGCCACAAAATGAAGTCAGGAGATGTATGCGCTTGTGTTTATCTTTCGCTACCTTGATCTTCTTTGGAGCTACATCTCAGTTGCTTGGCGGCTGGGGTAATTGTGAGTTGAGAAACAAATGAACAGCTCGCTGGTCGTTGAAACCCATTGAGCTCTGTCAAAACAGCCGTATAATTACAGTATACAGTATATTACAGGCTCAAGTCTGGTGTTGGACGGTTTCCAAGATCTTCATTAAAGCTTCATGTTTTTCATCTTTTTGTCATACTGTTCCACAATGTTCTACATGTATAAGATCAAATAAAAGAATATTCAGGCTTTCTCTATCCTGATAGATCTGATAGGACTTTATGAGAAATGCATCACTGTGCATCGCTCGGACGATCATATGTTCTCGATGTTTTAATCGCGAACTGATATTGATATGGCTTTTGGCGTCATTGAGCTAGCCATAGCATGAGCATAAATGTGGTTGAACGCCTCATTTTCTGCAAGTTTGACCAGAACATGATAGAACATGACCCCTTGGCTAAACCTTCCATTAAAATCCACAAAAGAGGGGACACGCAAAACATATCATCGAAGGTCTACAACACCGTCATGAAGGTGGTTTTCATCACAGCAACGTCCCACCGGCTGTTGTTTTTCGGGGGTGCTGGGATGCTGAGGATCTGATGAATTTTTCAGGAAGGTACCAGAAACATCTGGAAGAATATGAAGAAAACAAGTTATGCTAGTGATTTAGCCATGGATATTTCATGATATTTCTGGTATTACTCATCAGATTATGAATATTACTCAATATGACTCAATATTCCCTAAAAAGTAATAATACTCATTGACTGTCCTTGTTTAAGCAGGATTTCCAGACTCCAGAGGCCTTGATGGCATTGTTTGGAAGGGTTTAGGAATGTGGTCCTGTACATTCCTGACGCCAGGATTTACTTGATCTACTTGATGCGGGTAAAGCCGCCAATCTCACAAACGTACGAAAGGTGGGCCGCCTGAGACGACAACGTTTCCATGGAAAGCGGGATGATGATTGCGCAGACAGTGATGAGACATGTTGAGACTATTTAAAACCTACAACCGTATCATGATTTGGGACTGTCTAACAATGGGTAAATAAACCCAAAATCCAATGGTTAGTCATCATGTTCCCATATTTCTCATATTTTCTCCATTTACAGGGCCATCAATTGTCATAAATTGAGTCCCACCATTTTCAGACACAGCCATTTCGCTCCTGGTCACTGGATAGAGCACAAGGTTGACATGGGACCGGTGGGAGGATGTTGGTTGACCCCTGTAGGAGTACCGACAAATTTCAGTACGAGATCTACTTACTCGGGCCTTGCTTCTTGCTGGGCATCCTTTGTACGGAGGAATACTCTATAGCTGAGGTGCCATGGACTGTGGTGAGGATCCACATGAATGGTTCGTCGCATTGGCCGCTGATGATCAACTGGGTACCCAGTTTAGTCCCTACAAAGGCGTAGTATCCCGTAGCTTCATCACAGACCGATCTGGTCAGCAAACATTCGAACATCTGGGATTGCTTCACAAAAGATCCCACATGGGAAAAATCGTGCATGAGACACAGCTGAGCCTTCGCTTGTAGCAGAACTTCCAGTCTTTTCAAGCTTTCAAGGCCACATTCAGCTGCAACCGTTGGCATCTCTGCATGTGGAGGTACTTTGGACCACCTCCATTTGGTTGGAGAGTGTGGCAATTGTGCCCCAACTGGTCCTGCTGCAGCAGATGAGAGAGGTCGAGAACTTGACCTCCCAGTTTGTGGCGACCATGGGAGCGTTCGCCGGCCTTGTGAAGGTATAAGTGAAGCTTTGGCAGGTGGTCCTGTGTCAAGGGGATATCCATGGATATCCCAGTGGTTGATAAGCCGGGGTGGCAAGCCAGTTGCGGGGTGAAGGCATGAGCAACCAGAGTTTAACATGTTTTAACATGTTTTAACTAGTTCTTTTCGTGATTATCAGCAAGTTTCTAAGTGGGATGAACATCCAAGTGGGCCTTCATATAATTCACCTTAATTATTCAGCGAAATGAATCCATTTAATAAACGACTGATAAACCTGTTCAAGGGCGGACTGTAGACTCAAACTATGAAGAAGGCAGTCTTTATATATTCACATAAAGAAAAATAGATACAGTATATATATATTCCGCATCAAGGTATTATATATATATATATACATGGTCTTATTCTGTTGGTGTCAGGTACAGAGCGCTGTACATCCTGAATTGGATCTACCGATACTTCGCAGGGGACCTCAGTCTGCCACCGCTGGGACACCCCTGGGACCCCTGGGACCCCAGCCGCGAGGCGGACGACTACGTCAATTGGGTCGGCTGGGTCGGCGGTTTGGTACAAACAGCATCCCAGCTGCAGGGCGTGGTGGGAACGAGCTGGGTAACTAGGTGGGATGAAATGGATGAAATGCGGGTTTTAAGTGCAATAGATGCCAATCATATCCAACTTTATGGAAGAATTAATTGAAGTTGACTCTCCGATGTTGATTCCTAAGGTGCTGTATGCCGACTTCTTCTACTACTATGCCAGAAGCAAATGGTATGGTGGCAAGTAGTGACCTCAGGAAATGCATCAGTGTGGCAGGCAGTTTCAGAGGACAAGGCATTCAAAGGGTGGCTTCGGTATATAGCCTTTGCATGCCTTTGCATATTTCATGATGATGCTGTTTGATTAGCATGTTTGAAGTGTCCCCATATCTACAGATCAATAGCCTGCATATTTCCAATATTTCGAATTCTATCTTGCTACTTAGGACAAGATTAGAATCCCAACTAACTAACCAAGACCTTTGTGGCGAATGCCAACGAGCATCACCGTCATGCGGCTGCATGTTTGGCCATGCCACCCCAGTGTTGTCGTTTATTTTTTGCTTCAGGCTCGTGCTTCCTGTGGCAACATGAGCTTGAAACTCTCTGGAGGCCAGATCTTTTCAAGTCAGAGTTTCATTTTTGTTTATCGTTTCACATTATTTCTGTAAGCTGGGAAGATATCTTGCGTTCTCCTTCATCAAGTCGCTGTCAACATGTCAGTGATGCAAACGTGTATGTCAGCTGCGCTCAAGTCACTGGTCAGGTCAGGAGGCAAACTCGCCACCAGATGTCAAGGGCAACACCCATTGGGATGTGAGAGTGTCACATCGAAAAGGGTTGTGGATCGTCTCTACACCCCTCAAAGCCCTGAAAATGGGGGTAGTGTTGCAGTGCTCATTGACTTCCAGTAGTTTTGAGTACTGTATCAAACATGAAAAATATATAGAAATATAAAAATATCAGAATGCCAAAATGGATCCTAATGGTCCAGCGTGTAGTAGTAGTTGATGTAGGTTGCTGGTCGTTTTTTTTGGGGGTGCACAAGGGGAGTGAGGTAGCTGGATCGAAACAAAGATCGGGCTTTCATCCACTTTCTTTTAGGCCTTAGGATCCCTAGGTTGGTGCGGCGAAGTTGTCTGCAAGTGAGGTGCTCTTAAGATCAGGAGTTCTAGATAGTTCAAGAAGTCTTGTGCTCTATTGTTTATCTTATTGTTTGCTTGGGGATGGAAATCATGCGCAAAATATGCGTGTCTACACATATATATATATAATATATATATACATCATATACATGTTGCATGATATGCTATTGAACTGACTGATCGACAGCAATCATATGCTTTTCTTCCAATAAAATAGTGCCAACTAGCAGACCTGACGACTCGTCTAAGTAGCTCTTTCTTCGCTGCTGAGAAACCTGCGTGGTTGGAGAAACCAGTGGCCATCCGCCACTCATTCGCACATATTCGCAAGAAGGAGCGGAAATTGCAGCAAGCTGAGCGCAGCATTCTACCGTTGCGATGGGGATCCCACGTAGCGACCATCACTTCGAATTCTTCGTTGACTGCACATAGGCTTACTCGATCATACTGAATCATATTCCAGTCAGCATTTCCGCCGATGCCATCGCATGTCACAGTGCTTTTGCGAGTGCTTTGCGACGTCTCGCGTGCATTTCTAGAAGCAGGCTGAAGTAAGATCTCGCAGTCACCGCAAGAATCAGACTCATATATTGTCATTTGTCTCAGGCATCTGACTCACTTCCAGAGAACTGTTCAGAACGCATCAACATCATCATTTATTGCATCATGTATGATATCAGTTATCATCATTTTTCTATCATTTATCCTAAATTTGTTTGGGCCCACCATCTGTCAAGGATTTTGACTGAGACTAAATGATATATGTTGGGTGGTTGTCCCGGGCCCCTTAGCGCCTGAATTCACTTTGCACCTGCGTCCCATGGTGCTGCGGCGTTCACCGAAAGGTCCCTCGGGATTGGTTCGGTAGGGAGCCTTAGAGATATGCTGTGACGGGTTTTCATGATTCGATATATAGAGGTTTCCTGAACTGGTGGTACGCCCAAATCATCCATTTTGGTAGGAATTTCCATGATAAACCATCCAGCGATTGGGGTACCCCCCATTTCGGAAATATACAATATCATTATATATTTGATTATATGATGTATGTTGAGCTTGCCTTACAACAGTATGCTGTAGCATGCTGTAGAATGCTGTGTGAAACTCTGGCAGTGTGCTACTGTAGGCTACAACTGTACACTTGGCTACATTTGCGAGGCTGGAGAGAGCGAGAGAGAGAGAGAGATATATATAGATTGAAAGAGCGAGCACACAGAGACACAGAGAGTCTATTTCCTAATTCTTTCGATGTAGCAGGGTGATTCATGGTTTGTTTGTCTTTATCGATTCAACAAAAACAGAAACAACAAGCCGGCAGTTGGATACGTTGATCCATAAATATCGAACCATATTGAACCCCCCAAATCCCAAATTCATTATCATGAATTATCATGATCTTCCCATATCCTCCCGGTGAAAATTATTAACACACATATATATATATATGTAAAGAGTTTAAATGTTATTAAAATATATTAACATGGCAATATATCCCCGTGGTTTTTCCCGCATTTCAGACAAAGCCAACAGCCCACTGCAGGGCGAGCTCGACGTGCGCGAGCAAAGGAGACAGAGGTGGGTGCCCAAGGGACCAGGACCACCTGTCGCCTGCTTGGAGGTTCCTTAAAATGTTGAATACATCATAAATTGGGATTTAACTAGGAAAAATGGGGATCTAGAAGTGGGGTTCTAATGGGTTTTTAATGTGTTTAAATGATTCAATGAACAACATAGGAGTGTCTGGAAATGAGATATTACCACCCAATTTTGGGGCAATGTGAATGGGGAAATGATGATCAACCACTAGATATTGGATGACTTTAGGGCCCCCGATTTTCAGACAAATCCATCTGTGACTCTGAAATGCAATCCCTTCAAACATCCATCTTTGTGAGTTTTCGATGGGTTGTATTCATGACAAACATTGATAATATCTGACAATATAATACAAATCAGAATACGACGGCAACAGCAATTCCAATAGTGATAGCTTCACCTATCACAAGCCAATACGAATGAACATCACAGAAAATTACAACAATATGCAACAATAGTATAGTTTTAAACTACGATGTGTAGTGATAATAGCATATTAACCATGAAGGAGATGTAATATTAATCATGTGATATGTTGTTGGTATATCATATATATATATGTATGTATATACTGGTTGGTGGTTTGGAACATTTGTTATTTTCCATAATATATGGGTTGTCATCCTTCCCATTGACGTTCATATTTTTCAAGGTGGTAGGTATACCACCAAGCAGTATACATATTATGATACCCTCTGGTTATTTGTTACATAGCCATGGTATAGATGGCCCATAGAAATAGATGGTTTACCTATTATAGTCGCGACTATAATAGCATGGTGATTTTCCATGGCTATGTTAGTCATAACCAGAGGGTAACCAACAACATATGGCCCGATCTCCAGCATTCCTTGAGGCCGATTTTGGTCCATTGCTCTTGCGCCGCTGTATCGCTGCCTGCGCGGGCGGGTCGGAGGGCGGTTACGAGGCGATGAAGAGGGCTGCCCGGGGACTGTGAGCAGCCATAAATGACACATGGCGTGGTTTAAAACATGCGGTATACCATGGTATAGCCATAAAATCATAGAAATGCGTGTGGCTATTCAATTGTTTTTGCCCAAAAATGAAATGAAAACTCTCCCCCGATAGTGATACGTAACCACCACCAAGATCCACCAATGAGGAACCTAGTAATTTGGATCACTACCAGTACTACCAAGTATGGTTTATGTCATCCTGTTTCACATCTCGGTGATATGGGTTGCGTTCACAAGAGCCTAAGATAGGAGTCAAGTGCAACTTCATGGAGAAATGCGCTGAAAAATGAATCATCCATGATGCAGAGCACTTGTTCTCCCTTAGCGTTTGTTCCCAAGGCAGTCCTTCGCAACCTCAAGACTGCTATTGCAGCGCCCGAGAGCGAGAAATCACGGTCCGGCCGGTGTCATCAGCTCCATGGCTGGAAGGTCCCCCAGAAAAGTTTGATGTTTTACCCAGCTATAAACCTCCACTTATGGGGGATAACTACCAGCTATGTTTAACTACCAGCGTGGAGAAATAAGTGCATATTATACCAAAGCCAGAGGGGCCCCATGTCCCAACTTGTGGAGGTGATCACCATGCTTATAATCTTATACCCATTAATCACCTAAATGCAATAGAGGATTCCAAGCAACTAGAAGAGCTTGGAACAGTCTTTATCGAATCCTTCGACGCATGTTGATTGTACGTAATTGTACGTGTTCCCATTGTGGTATCCAAAATCCAATGGGTTTATCATCATATTAAAAAAACAAAAAAACACATACAAATTGCATGAAATTGCAAGTTTTTAGGGGTTCAATTAGTTCAATTCCCTATTTTCAGACACCCCAGGTGTTTCTGTGCTCTTTGACCACCCTGGTGACCAGGGCGAGCCGCAACGACATGGTAATGAGGCGACCATCTCAGAAACTTTGGGTACCGGAAGCACATTTCCTCCTAAAATTGGTAGGAAAATTATGCCAACCAACCGCCTGAAACCCTGAAACCAGGCAACTTGAATCCAAATTGACTCTGACTATACTGCGGACTTTGGATGATGTTTTTTTTTTGAAGGGAGATTCACTAATCATCACCAAAAGATCCGAAAGCATATCCACTTTCAGGGACGAAGCAAGATGTTTGGCCAACAGCGTTGCCGCTTGCCTTAAGCCCCCTGAGGCTTGAACGGGCGCTCCGGTCCGGATGCCAAGGTGCTGAAAGTGGTGGATTGAACCATATTGAACCCCCCTGTCATGGTCATTTTTTTAGGGACCAATGATGAAATGATGATACATTGTACAGTATTACAGTATTGATGATCCCATTTTGAAGTGATTGTCTTGATTTTTTTCTCGTAACTGTCATTGATATCTCACCAAAAAATTGAAGAGATAGCAAGTTTGTGGTCCCGTTGAGGAGCAAAGTAGCAAGCCATGCCCTACTCATGGCTATTGTGGATGGGATCATTTGGATCATTTGGATTTGGGACAGCTAGGATGACTCCAACGATACACCCCTTTTTGATGTTTGTGTTTGGTGTTTTGTTTGTCTATCATTGTCTATCCAAATAGGTCCAAATAGTACGAAGTTCGCGAATTGTGTAAAGTGGGTCTCTTTTGAGAGCACACGGTACGGGGGTGAATTCTCAATAAACAATGATCACAAAACACGGAAAATGCCGATATGTTCCACACTTAGAGACTTAGAGGGTCCTAAACCCTACTGAAACACCACTTTTTCATCATTATCTTGTGATGAGATGTACAACAATTCGCAGGCACTAAAAGAAACAAGAAAACAAACCACTATATGCACAAAACCTGCATAGGCACAAAACAAGTTTAGCTACAGGAGTGGACCGATAGTTCCTGATTGTTTTGCCATTTTTCTGGTGCCTGTGGTTTGTTTTGTTTTGCCTTTTAGGATGCTTGTGCAAGTTTGGTGACTCTGACCTCACAAAACAATGAGAGGCACCAACAAAAACGAGCAAGAAACAAAGCTCGATTTTCACCAAATGTGCCATTGCCTTTATATATCTTTATATACTTCATCTATTGATAGTGACTTGTTTGAGGAATGGCAGTTGCAACTGCCTCCAGAGACAGGCTAGATATGGCTAGATGATGTACATTTGGTCATTTGGATTCCAAAAGCCAATCCAATTCGGTACTAGTAATGAATATATCTCTCTTCAAGCCAATTATTACCATTAGTCTGCCAACAAGACTCTGCAAGCTAAGATTAATAGAATTTAAATGAATTTAATGACAACAGGAAATGTAACCCAACTTCTTGAGTTGCAACATTCCCACCATCCTTCTTATTTGAACTGTTGGATGTCCTTGCATATATCCCTGTGCACACCTACACCTTTATCTTCATTGAACTTTCGCAGTTGCAAATGGCACAACATGCGTTTAGAGGACACCAGTTCAGCAAGTTCATGAAGAAGCCACCTCTATCACACTAATTAGCCACCTATTGATATTGTATAGTATTCTATTCCAACATGCAAAATCCATCCATTCTTACGCTCGTGGTGCGGAAGGTTTTTTCTGTTATGTGTTTTTGCAACTTCTTGTAGTTCTTTGCAAGCCTCAAAGGAAAGTTGAATTCTGTCACAAAAGTCTGTAGATACCAGTGATTTATAGTAGCATATTGATGAGGTGAAATATACGTTTTGCATCTTTTTGCTCCAAAACCTAGGTTTCAGACCCCATTTCACCACAAAAACCTGTAAATACATGACAATACGTAAACAAATACATGTAGATTGTAGATTGCCAATTTTTAATTGGAAAAATCACTTCCCCATGAGGGGCGTTCTGTTCATTTTTGGGTTTACCGAATACCCAAAAGTATGTCACAAATACGCTAGTCTTAAGAATTTTAATCCATTTTGGCTGAGGCTTGATACGGAGTGCCGACAAGGACGGAGTTTGATGTTGAGCATGGACGGAGTTTGCTACATGCAGACATGTATTACTGAACTTTGGAGTCTGCCCTATTCCAAGATACACTGCATGATATATGTCTATAATATTCTGTGCATGTAACTATATATGTATAATCGGCTTGAGGTTCGGCTTGAGGGCGGTTTCGGGCGTTCTCAAAAGCAGTGTTTTTGAGAATTGCGTGTTGCTATGGGATGTTATTGCTATGTGATTGCTATGTATGATACTTCATGGTAACAGGACATGTCTTCATCCATGATAGGCTGCTACGGTCCCTCCCTTCTCCTCAAACTCGTGCTGTTCGAACTACTAAAAGACTGACAGTTGCACCGGTCCTGTTCCGGTACCCTCTGCTCTGCTTCGACATGGTTGCAGAGCATGTTTGGGAGCGGAGTGCGGAAGGCAGCTGAAAGACTGACATGAGGCACGTCGTGAACGGTGAGACTGGCTGCCAGCTCGAAGATTGTCCGCCACCACCGCCCCCCAAGACTCCGAAAGTCTCACCCCTCCCTCTCCGGGCTTGTCCAAGGAGAACCCTGCATCTGCTTTGGGTCGGACACACAGTCTTGCAATCCGTACAGCTGTGTTGGCCATTCCGAGGCGCCGCAACATGTGCAGTGAATGGCGCGGAGCTTTACAAGAAAGCTATGGGATCGTTTGTGTGCCTGTGGGTGCTTGTGCGTGCTGCTAGCGGCTAGCGAATCGGTTTTGCAACAGCAGCATTTTCCATCTCACAGCGTGTGTCTTATAGCTCCTATCCGCAGCAGCTTGCCGAACTCCATGTGGATTTGTGCTGCCAGAAGCAAGGAACTACATACATCATGGTGTATCACAACACGTATGTTTACACGGAGGTGACGCTGGATGGCGTCTCTTTGGGTGAACGAGGCAACCCAGCAGGCAATCCAGGTAGCATTCAGCGATAGAGGGCTCAATGTTACAGCCTTGCCAGCAGCCCTGCGACCAGCTGCAGCTTTGGGTGAAAGCTTCAACGCGCAAGTTGTCATGCATATTTATCCAGATTGTGTGTGTGCGTCATGTGATGAAATTCTATCATTCCACTGTGGACATCCCTTGGGGCCTTGTCCGTACATTCTGTGAGGAGGAGCCGCAGGTCATTGATTACAATGTGGCTGCAAATCCGAACCAGAGCTGGTTTCTTTCCCATGGAAACGAAAGATTCAGGTTTTCTTGGGAGTGAAAGACGTACCGTGCACCAGTGTCAGTGGGACTCAGGCATGACCCCTGAAGCCATTTCAAGACTGCATCCATACAGTTCATGTTGTCGTTGGCAATTGACCTGTGTGCAAGCTATTAGTATGGAACTAGACGTAATGAAGCAGCAACGACATAGACATACCAACTCGAACAAGCAAAGTGCAAGGAACACATTTGAAAACTTGTATGCGTGTGTGTCTGGTGCTGTGTGTATTGATTGCCACAGCTTCTCGCGCGTTGCATAGCGATGTGGCGCCCGCCCCGCCTGCCCCAAGCGATTTTCGACGAACGGAGAGCGCTCGGTCTTGGGAATCTGGGACCAGCCCCCAGAACCACAACGAGAAAGCAGCGAAAGCCCCCGAGCCAACAACGCCGGTGGGCACGCAGCATATCCTCAGCATGGTGCAGTCGGAATGCAAGTTGAAGCCGTTCCGAGAGACACGCTCGCGAGGGCTGTGCGTGGTGGTGCATGAATCTGGGTGCGTCTCGGCCTTGACTTTTTTTCTCCTGGCGAACCTGGCAAAACTGCCAGCAGGCATGAAAGATCCCGGCGTGCATGAGTGGAGAAAACATGCTGCAGAGCGCAGTGGGGCTTGGAGTCACGTAGAGTCACAACCAAGGACCCCGACAAACATGCGCAAAAACGAACGCCCAATACAGGATTGAGCATGTCCCACAAAGCCTGTTTTGGCAACTTTTTTGAATCTATTTTGTAGAAAGCTTATTTGGTAGTTCTTAATGATTCTTGTTTTGTATTTTGTAGTGGGCAGCCATTTTTGGTTCCATAGACTTCCATTTTGTAGTGCGTTTGGGGGGCTCTCTCCTGGATGGACTTGTATTCTGTAGATTTGTAGACCCCTTTTTTCCTACAAAATCACCTGCTTGCACCATCACCCGAAATGAGCAAGGGGATCACATAATTGTTTATATATGTACATGCGAAGTTGTACTTAATTGCTAACATACGCGCAATTACCAGAATAGTGGTCGTTCCCTCTCTTTCAAATGTTGTACGTATTGTAAAAAGTGACGCTGCCCCCACTTGTCAAGGACAAGTACGAGTTCGAAGGCTCCGGAGTTCTGAAGGTTTGAGCTTCCTGTGAGCAGCTACCAAAAAGAGGTTTCACACATGAAAATGGGAAATTGAACCCTTCAAGCCGCCATTTTTGGAGCATGATTATAATCAAATGACAGCACATTCGATTTTGGAGTAATTGCCTTATTTTAGCTCCTACCTGGATGATTATAATGCCCAACCTGACCAAAGCAAACATTCAGCGGATTTGTCAGCAGACGTCGGTGTGGCGAAGAGCCAACCACACTTGAGGTTTGACACAAGCTCACTTCTCGGGTTTGGCAAATGCAGAAGTCAGACTTGCCTGATCAATATAGATCAATTGTCTTTCGTTCGATTGACTGGATTCCATGATGGTGGAACTTCCTTGCCAAACCCGGATCAACCTGTACAAAGACCATCAAAGAAACTCGTGAGTGAGCCCTCAAGAGACGAGAGTTTGCCAGCGATTTCTTAGAGGATGAGCGAATCATCCCATTCCTTTCCAACGATTTTTCAACAAACCATTGATAATTACTTAATTTGAACTACAACGCTGGTGTGGGATATTGATAGAAATTGTATGATATTGATTGATATTGTATGGTATTGTATCTCTTGAAATCTTGATAGTCTTGTGCAGGTCATGAGTGAAGCAGATTTCAGCATGTGGGGGTTGTGGAAGTATCCAAGTTTGCTGTTGAAAACGCTGTTGTGTGATGTTTTGTGCTACCATTTGCTGACCGGTGCTGAGACTGTTGCTTTGCCACAAAGCTCATCAGTTTCTTTGAACAGCACAGTTCGATCAAAACAGCCCCTAAACCGGCCAAAACCAGGCCAACGACGGTTTAGAAGTTTATAGTCGTTGCCTTCTTTTATCAGACATGACATGAACCATCAATAACAATCAGAAATGCCAGCAGAACAGTATCAACAAAGATCCTTCAGCCGATTGAAAACCAAATCACAAAGTCACCCCCAGCTTCACAGCCACTCCATTTCCGGTGAACCGCCAATGACTTCGGAATCACTCGCTGCAAGGCCAGGAAGTGAGTGGAGTTAAACAGACGGCTGCATCGCTGGTGGGGACATTTCCCTTTGTAATTAGCTCATGTATGTTCATGTGCCATTTGGATAGAGGGCACCATGAATGATGAACCAGGGATTCTGGCCCACATTCTTGAAGTTGAGCTTCATCTCGACAGTTCTCCCTACTCCGGACCATGCAGGAAGAACCGATGATAACGTGGCCTTCATGATTGCTATGAACCTATGATGAACTCGTAGTTATTTTACTTTTTCTCCAAACGGGGAATCCGCGACTTCAAAATAAAACATGCTCGTCAAAGATTGTGGGAGTTTGTATTGTACGACTTGGAAGGGAGAGGAGTTTCTTCCTATACAGAAACGCATGTGGTCCTAGGCTTGCGCGGCAAGGTCGGTTGCTTTGGGCGACGGGTAGTATATTTCGATGTGAGATGCGGTGAGTCTTTTGCAGCGTTGCCTTTTTTATTTGAAATCCAAGACATTCAAATCAGATTGTAGGAAGCTCTACCACCCTTCATCCCCAAAGAAATTCAATCAGTTCATCCATGGTTCCAAGACAAAATGGTCCCCAGAAAGCTGCGCTTTCCAAATCCACAAAACGGTACCAAGGCACGACGCCCTTCTCTGCACCTCTCACTGCCAGAGAAGCACGCGAACGAGGCAGAGCTTGGCTCGTTGCGCTTGTTTGGGGCACCCTCGCAGAACTAACAGACATGGAATTCGTAGATGATGTAATGTGGTTGGTATACCCTCTTTAATGATCTGTAATGAATCATCCCATTAACCAACCGACTGACTGGGGAGTTCTGGCCTAATGGCACAGGTGGTCCAGAGTCAAGGCCAAAGGTTTGGCACTTAGTGATGGCCCTCGGGTGATTGACAACAACATACAATAACTATTGAACATCACCAGGTTTAATATTGTTGAATGGCTAAATCAATGTAAATCATGTATAAATGAGCTATCTTAAAATTATGTACAATTCCAACGCCTACTTAAATTGTCACAGTCTCTTTTTCAATATTTGTCATCGCAAGCGATGCAAACTTCACTGCATCTCTTTGCTCACTTGTTGATCGGATTGACCACTCAGCCATTGTACAAGAGAAGCCGATGGCTAGAGGGGCCTCAAAGAACCGAGCTGAGGTTGTGTAAAAAGGGGGGCATTGGCATTTAGTATTGATATGTCCTTTAGTTTGATTTTCAGGCAAAACGATGAGGAAGAAAAAACAAATCATATTTACATATGTGCCCAACATATATGGCCTGATTTACTTGCTTTTGGCTTGAAAAAATCGATTATGGGGATGAAAATTGAGTGGGAAAATGACTTTTGGATCCGAAAAATCGTCTGGTGCTTGTTCTTCCAGAGCTGGTGGTTAGAAGGGGCCAAGATTTGAAAAGGTGATTTTGGCTTGCTGAAAGTCATTCTTCTGGGTGTATCTGCAAAGTTGGTGCTTGGAAAGGCCACACCCTGGAAAAGGTGATTTTTGTTTACAGAAAATCGTTTTTTTCTCTTCTTCCAGAGCTGGTGCCTTGGAAGGGGTAGGGATTGAAAAAGTGATTTTCGCTTGCCGACAATCGTTTTTTTCCATCTTTTTGCAGAGCTGGTGCCTTGGGGGGGTAGGAGGCTTGAAACAGTGATTTTCGCTTGCCGAAAATCGTTTTTCCATCTTCCTCCTGAGCTGGTGCCTTGGGGGGGCAGGGAGCTTGAAAAAGTGATGCTCGCTTGCCAAAAATCGTTTTCCCGAATGTGCAGCAAGGGTTCCTGTTTCACTGGGGGTCTGGGGGTTGAGGGTGTGTTTGCTCGACGTCGCGCAGCCGTTCGCAACCGTCCGCAACCGTTTGCGTGAGGCCCATGTGGCCGAGCCTATGGCGAGTTCTGCAACGTGGTCACTTTTGGAAATTTCAGACGTCGCAGCTTCGTTTCGAGTGGCAGGCGTGGCACTTTGTGACGTTTCAGCATGTTTCCTAACGTGTCCAAAGTCGTTTTGTGTGGCAGGCGCAATACTTTTGCAACGTTTTCAGAAGATGCGTTGCATTTTTCGTGGCAGTCACAGCACTTTGGAGACATCCAGTGTCATGTTGTGTGGCAGCCGCAGCACTTCAGTCGTGTCGCGTTCACACTTCACACTTCACACTTCACACTCTACACTCCACACTCCACACTACTCCACACTCTACACTCTACACTCCACACTCTATACTTCATACTCCACACTCCACACTCTACACTCTACACTTTACAATCCACACTCCACGCTTTACACTCCACGCTCCACACTCTACACTTTACACTCTACACTCCACACTCTACACTTTACACTTTACACTCTATACTCTATACTTTACACTCCACAGTTTAAACTTTACACTCCACACACTACACTTTACACTCCACACTCCACACTTTGCATCCCACCCTCTACCGCATCCCACAATCTGCAGTGCACTGGTATGGTAGCAGGGGAAACATGTACAAAACTGTCCAATTACTCGTTTCACAAAAGTGTTCTACGTGACTGCATTCGGGTTCGTGGGCTGCATCTTGTTTTTTCCATCTTCCTCCAGAGCTGGTGCCTTGGGGGGCGTAGGGGGATTGAAAAGGTGATTTTTGTTTGCCGAAAATCGTTTTTTCTCTTCTTCAGAGCTGGTGCCTTGGAAGGGGTAGGGATTGAAAAAGTGATTTTCGCTTGCCGACAATCGTTTTTTTCCATCTTTTTGCAGAGCTGGTGCCTTGGGAGGGTAGGAGGCTTGAAACAGTGATTTTCGCTTGCCGAAAATCGTTTTTCCATCTTCCTTGTGAGCCGGTGCCTTGGGGGAGCAGGGGGTTTGAAAAAGAGTGATTTTCGCTTGCCGCAAATCGTTTTTCCCATCTTTCTCCAGACCTGGTGCCTTGGGGGGTAGGGGCTTGAAAAAGTTGTTTTTGCTCGCTGATAATCCTTTTTCCATCTTCGGGTGGGGGCTTGAAAAATGAACGTCCAACTCATGTACCGCAGATAAAGAAAATTCAAGGAAAGCTGAAACTGAAACCATGTATGTTCCACATAGTGCAAGATATATTCTATGGCTCGATCTCCCAACCTCCTGCTTGCTGGGCTGACACTCTACCAGCTGAGCTATTGGCTCTTTGGCCTTGGTGCCTGCCAGCCTTTTATCTAACGTTTTGACCTATTTTTTCTAGGGCTGCGCAGCAACAAATCCCTTCCTGCATGTGTTGGCGCATGTGCTTTTCAGCCCGTGCTGCCTCTGTTTTGGACGGCTGTTCTGTTTTGGATTCGCTGCTTGCAGAGCTGTCTCTGGAGGCGCTATTGGGAAATTACTAAGAATTTGCAAAACTTTCACCACGCGCGAGCCTTCAACAATGATTCTCGGCTCCTTTGATGTTGAAAAAGAGCTGTCCGCACTAAAAGAATTGCGTCTCGATTACAGGAAGGCGACAGGCGTGCAAATTACCTAATCTGAGGAGCGAGAAGAAACAAAAACAAAAACAACAACAACAACAACAACAGCAACAACAACAACAACACCAGCAACAGCAACAGCAACAGCAACAGCAACAACACCAGCAACAGCAACAGCGACAGCACCAGCAACAGCAACAGCAACAGCAACAGCAGCAGCAGCAACAGCAACAGCAACAGCAACAGCAACAGCAGCAGCAGCACCAGCAGCACCAGCAGCACCAGCAGCACCAGCAGCAGCAGCAGCAGCAACAGCAACAGCAACAGCAACAGCACCAGCACCAGCACCAGCAACAGCAACAGCACCAGCACCAGCACCAGCAGCAGCAGCAGCAGCAGCAGCAGCAGCCGCAAGGGCAACGGCAACGGCAACAGCACCAGCAGCAGCACAAGGCAACAGCAACAACGGCAACGGCAACAACGGCAACAACGGCAACAACAAACGGCAACAACAACGGCAACAACGCAACAACGGCAACAACGGCAACAACGGGAACAACGGCAACACGGCAACAACGGCAACGGCAACAACCAAACGGCGACAACGGCGACAACGGCGACACGGCGAGGCGACAACAACAACAACGGCAACAACGGCAACAACGGCAACAACGGCAACAACGGCAACAACGGCAACAACGGCAACAACGGCAACAACGGCAACAACGGCAACAACGGCGACAACAGCGAGCAACAGCAGCAACAGCAACAACAGCAACAGCAACAACAGCAACAGCAACAACAACAACAACAACAACACAGTGCATTCATGCCTTGTGATTCGAGACAAGTACTGTAGAACTTCAATCTCCTGCGGGTGGCAATTGAAGGCAAAACTGGTGCCAGCAGCCGCGACAATTCCAGCTCCACTGAGTGTAGTAAAGTTGCAGCATGTTGTTTTCATGGGAAACGATAAGGTTTTGTTCCTCGGTAACAATTTTCCCGCAAAACGATAAGGAAGGAAAACAACGACAATGTTTGGATGCGTGATTGAATTCAAGCCCCGTTTTCATACAACCTCAGCTCGGTTGGATGATGGTTAGAGATGTCTGCAATGTACTTCAAATATCATAAATATCTGGGTTATTTGATGTGAAATGGTTTTTCCCATTCCAGATACTTGAAGTCGCTGTATGGTCTGGTTCTGTGCCGATTTTTTGGCGGATGATTCATTTAGCAAACCATTTTTTTTTGTAATCCCGGAAGTTTTTGATACAGTGCGCAGCAAGGTTTTTGGGTTTGGGAGTGCTGACATGGACATATGCAGGATGGTGTAGGAATTCTGCATCCACACGAATCAATTACCTGTGTCTCTTCGTAAAACATTTGCTCCCAGCAAGGCCGGAATATGCCCGGCGAATCCTCACAGTTTTTTTGGTTTCCCGAATTTTGACACATTACTAAGGGCACAGGCACCAATGCTTCCGCGCTGGAAGGTTCAGAACGTGTCATGGATTTTGGACTTGGGGTTGGCATTGGTTGGCCAAGTATTTTAATGTATTTTACAAAGTGGATTCTGAAAACTGATGTCTGAAACCATACACAAGTGGGATCACGTGGGCATGTCACATTTCAACCACAAGGCGTGACCAGGTTGGGATGTTCCAGGTTCAGCGTTGTCCGCAAGAGCTAGGTGGCCAGTTTTGGCTATTTAGGAGTGGATCAAAACCATTTGAAACATCTACTTGACTCCAACTTGACTCCATATTTTTGGGATATTTTGGGGGATGAACACCCATCTACCATCCGCAACTAGCAGCTATTTGTTTTAACAGGTTTCGTGAGCCCCCACCGAAACCACTGTGTCAGGAGATGCCAGTGCAGCAGGCATCCACGTTGATGCGCTGCTCAGATGCAGATGAGAGACAGCAACGACACGGCGCAACGAGACAACAAGTCCCGGTATAACAGATTAATCATTGATTGATCATAAAAGAAAAGGTGCCAAGGGCAGGGATATGAACAGTATTGAAGGAGATCCACGTCTTGTTTTTTTTCTCCAGCTTAAGCTTTTGATCCAATGAATCACATTCCTGAGACACAGCCCATGCCCATCGCAGCTCAAAACCAGATTTGTAGTCAGAGGTTCTCTTGGTGTCGACCGAGGTCCAAACTGAAGAGTATAGAACAGAATTTGAGTACGAAAGAGTCCGTGGCCCCATCCGAGGGCGTCTCTAAAAATGGGGGATTTACCACCATTCATGGCCATTGATGGGCAAAATCAATTTATCAATCACAAGTTTTTGGCATGCCATGTTTTTGGGCAAACCCATGAGGCATGCCTGAAATTTCCCCACCCGGTTGGATTGGAGCTTCAGACGGCCCTCAGGATGATGAAAGTTCAAAAAGCCAAAGAGTTTGAGCTAAAGCTGCGAGCCTGTCCTGTTTGGCACAGAAATGCTACTTCTCAACGATTGTGGTTCCTGCTTCAGGTTTTGGGTAGCGAATTTCTTCGATCTTCAGATCCAAGTGATTCCCCTTTGTCATAGATGAGTCAATGTTGAAGTGAGACCTCAAGTGGGCATTGAATCTTGGTATATTATATATATATTATATATATATATTGATGATTTTAGTAGAATTCCAGATTTTTTTTTGGATATGTTTGGTATGGATATTGCCTGTGGTATGACTCATATATATATCATCATATTAGCTCATCAAAATATGGGTTTACATCTGGGTCAAATTTTCCCCGTGGCCATCCAGGGAGAAGCTTCGCAAGTTGCGAGAGCAGGATGCCGAACGCATCAAGGAGCGCCACCAGGGGATCGCATGGGCTCATCTGTCGACATATTACGGGAGATTTATCAGCAACCCTGGAAGGTTATATTTTGATATTAGTATATATTATTATGTATTGTTAATTTTTATTATATATTATTATATATTATGTATTATTATACATTATTATATATTATTATATATTATTATATATTATTATATATTATTATGTATTATTATATAGTATTATATATTATTTTATATTGTTATATATTATTATATATTATTATATATTATTCTATATTATTATGTATTATTATATATTATTATATTTTATTATATATTTTTTATATTTTATTATATATTATTATATATTATTATATTTTGTTATATATTACAGTATTATATATTATTTTTATATTATTATATATTATTTTTATATTATTATATATTATTTTATATTATTATATTATTATTATATTATTATATTTTATTATATTTTTATTATATATTATTATATATTATTATATATTATTATATCTTATTATATTTTATTATATTTTATTATATTATATTTTATTATATATTTTTTATACTTTATTATATTTTATTATATTTTATTATATATTATTATACATCATTTTATATCATTATCATATCATTATCATATTATTATTGATTTACTTATAATATATTATTATTACTATTATTATTATTATTACTATTTATTATTATTACTATTATTATTATTACTATTTATTATTATTATTATATTTTTTATATACATACATATTTCTAATTATTACTATGAAATGTCTTATTTTGAGTGGGTTTTTTGATATATATATATATAATAATAATCATTATTGATAATACATTATTGTGATTAGTGATTAGTATTGTTATTAATTATTAGTGTTATAATATATATATTATGATTATATTTATTACTATTTTTGTTTTTATGATTATTACATATTATATATAGATATTATTTTATACATAATGATGCAGTCCTCACAATTTATTCCAGCAGGTTAATGATAGTTGGCCAAGTAGACTGGCGAAAAATGGTGAAGTCAGGTGGCAAAGGTCCAAGATTTGGAGCTCGATCCACTGGTGAATCATAATTGTCCCTAAACCGGCCTAGCCGGGGGTGAAAAATCCCCATGTCAGACACTCATTTGCAGCGCCAACACATCAACTTTCAATGATTCGGCATGCTAAGAGCTGAGAATCAGGCAACATCAGTGAAGGTACATCGGCCTAGGCTCAAAACCTGTCAGACCAGGGGTAGACCTACGCTAGCTGATTTGAGCGGTTTGTTTGCAATGGAAACCGAGTGGGACACTGCCATCGCCCGTCATGAGATGTTTTCCCCCAACTGGTCTCGGTTGTCTAAAGGGGACACAATTTCTGTTGTCATCAATGGCCTGGTTTTTACAGAGGAGGTTGTCATTGGTCAGTCGCTGCCGGACAATCAGCCGATTCGACTGTATGGCGAAATTGATGCTCAGGTGCGTGGCTGCAAGTGTTTGACAGTGTTGGGTGCCGTGGTTGACTTCAAGCCGCCGTTTGTGGATTTGTTGTTAACTGACTTAAGCATGACCCTTGCTCATGGACTCAAACCTGCCACCGACCTTTTCAAGACCGTTGAGTTTTGTGCTGGACTTGGTGCCACCGGTGTTGGACTTGCTGCTGCTGGTTTTGACTTGGCGTGCAGTGTTGAGTGGCGTTCCCCCCTTGCTGCTGTCCATGAAACTGTGCACCCCACCGTCCCGGTTATCGTTGGAGACATCACTGAGTTGGACTGCCTCAAACAGGTTGCTGCTCTGGTGGACTCTCCGTTCTGCCTCACAGCCGGAATCAGCTGCCAGCCATACTCCATCGGAGGAGCTCACATTGGCAGCACTGACGAGAGATCAAGTACTCTGCCAGCGACCATTCGTGCTTGCTACCTTTTTCAATGCCCGCTCCTGATCCTGGAGTGTGTACCGCCAGTCCGTACCAACCGGTACGCGAGATCCCTTCTTATGGCTCTTGAGAGGGAATTAGGGTACCATTTGACTGAGGTCACACTGCGCTTAGAGGACACATGGGCATCGCGCAGGTTCCGTTGGTGGCTTGTTGCGACACATCCATCACTTGGCAAGGTTTCCATCCCTGACTGGCCACAAGCTCCAGGTTTGGTGGTTCGTGATCTGATGCCTGTCATTCCCTCTTGGCCTGACGAAGTCATTGAGGAGCTGCGACTGAAACCCCATGAAACAAGCATGTTCACGTTGGATGGATCACACATGAGGAAGTATGTGTTGCAACTTGATCAGAAGATGCCGACGTGTTTGCATAGCTGGGGGAGCCCTGCAGATCCCTGCCCATGCACCTGCCGAGCAGAGCCTTTCAGTGAAGCGTTGATCAAGAGCAGGGGCATTTATGCAGTTGTGGTCCCAATTCCATCAACCACCGGAGAACCCCAGTATCGGCATTTGCACCCTGCTGAACTTGCTGTCTTGAATGGACTTGTACCTCCCGATGTTTGGACTTCTCCACATCACCCATCACTGCGTCTGTGTCTCTGTGGCGTTGGACAGTTGGCTTCTCCCTTGCAAGCGTTGTGGGTTGGGACATGTGTTCGCAGTCAGTTGTTGCATAGGCTTGGACTCCCTGCACCAACGTTGACACCAACCAGTGCCTTGCAGCAGATGAAACAGCAGCTGTATGAGGCTGCCAAAGCCATGTTTCTCAGCGTGCCCACCGTTGCACCCACGATCACAGATCCAGAAGACACCGAGGTTGTCCTTTTGCCCCCATCAGAGGTTGTACTTCTGTATGCTGACGCCACTCAGGTCCGTGTCCAGGTGTCTCCTGAAGCCACTGTTGCACAGTTGCGCCAAGCAGATGATGCCTTGCAAGGAGTTGATGACGGAAAGTGGATCGATGCTGTCACATGCTGTGCATTGTCAGGTGACGACACTGTCAGTGGAAGGATCATCCGAGTCTGTGCATCACCGTCCAGTGAACCCATGTCAGAGCCAGCCATTGATCCCAATGAGCTTGAACGTGAGTTACCGTTGGTCCCTGTCGGTCCCTTGGTTGTCACTCCAGCGTCCACGCCCAGCCCAGCTGATGCCATTGAGCCCGCCAGTCAGTCAGCCATCAAGCGCCATTGCACTGTTGATGTTCGTTTGCCCAGTGACGCGTTGCACGGCTTTTTGGACTTGTCTGGAGAGCAGTTGGCTGCCTTGATTCCCCCGTTGGTTGTCACAGCTGAGCATTGTTGCGCCTTACGCAAGGCCACGACCACCAGCACCATGCGTCTGCAGATCCTGCAAAACCAAGGAGCTGCTATGGCAGATGATGAGTTACACCTTCATGTGTTGTCTTGTGTGCAACTCACTGGCCGCTTGGACTTGGCCTTCTTGGACCCTTTGCTTGCCACTGGATGGCTTCGGTGCGGTACTGTTGGCCAAGTCAAGGCATGGATGCACAGTGTCCCGCATGCCACGTCCATTGTCAGTGTTGTCTTGCTTGATGGCCATTGGATTCCAATCATGTGGTCACGTGGTTTGAGTGAGGTCCGTGTCACAATGTGGGAACATGATGATGTGTCTATCGAGCCCCTCTGCCCTTTGCATGGACTCATCAGCCAAGCTTGGGAACGACCCATGTTCTCCCTGGCATGCAACCGTCGATCCTTTGCCAGAGATCACTGCGGTGCTGCGTCGGTCTGTTTTCTAGGCCATGTCTTACTCAACAAGCCTTTGCCTGTCCACGCTGAGGACCTTTTGCGCATCCATGAGGAACTAAGGAGCAGTTTTGGTGCAGCCCTTGGACTTTTGACAGATGTGCCCAAGCCATGGGGTTGGGGCCTTGGTGTTCCCGATGTTGTTGGTCTTGTCTCCAACTTGCTGCAGCTCCATGGTGTCCCACATGCCCAGTGTCAGTTACGTGCCAAGATGCTGATCCAAAGCTTGGGCAAGACGGAAGTCCAAAGTGCTGTCACAGGAATCACGCCGTGGAAGTCTCTGAAGATTTTGGCCAATGCACACAAGCCAGTGATCCAGCTCGTGCTGCCTGATGAGCAAGCTCAGTTTGCAGCATCCAAACAAGCATCCGCCCCGCAAGCCAAGAAACAGCCAGGAGGTACCAAGCGCCTTACGCCAGCCCGACCAGCTGAGTTGGACCCTGCCAAGCTGGTCATTGACCAAGGAGCCTTTTGTGTAGATTGTGATGAGCCTCTCATGCGGACACCATTCAATGCTCTCGGCCCGCTGTCAGTAGGAGTTGCACTTGCCACGTTCCAAGATGCCAAGCCATTTCTGGATGCAGGTTCCCTGTTGTCATCTGGTGGACTCGCCATGCTGATCATCAACCCTCCTGCTGATTTTGCCACGTCGCTGCAATGGTCCTCCTTGCGGTTTGCTGCCAGGTGTGCTTATAACCAGGAGCCCATGTTGCTGTCAGGTGCACTTGTCCAGCTTGGCCGTAAGACCGTATATCAGTACAAGGCGAAGAATGTCCCAGCCATCATGTCAGTTGAGGTTGCTTGCGCCAGGGTTACTGTATACTTTGACCAGTGGGAGCAAAATTGGGAAGACTTCGCAAGCAAGCCTGTTAAACATGTCCTTGCATGCATCCCATGCCTCCAGACCTGTCGTGTCCCGTCCTGTCAATGTCCTGGCTGGCACCCGTCCCCGACTGACCAGCATGATGCATTGCGGATGTCTTCCGCCGACAGTTCTTTGGTGAAAATGGCCGTCCTACCAAGTGGGACAAAGCAGACTACTTTGCTGTCCTGATCAGGTATGTGAAGTGTTTGGAGCCTGCAGTTCTTGCATTGAGCGGCCGCTGTGGCCTTTTCGTTGAACCCAAAACCGAGGATGCAATGCAGCCACATGGTGACTACCAGGTCATCTGGTTACCCAGCTTGGACTTTGCCACGGTGTCTCACAAGGCCAAAATCGAGGCTCACTGTCTTGGAATTGCCAGGTCAGGACGACGCTATGGACTCCGCGTCAAAGCCCAGCATTTTCAAGAGGTCTTTGCAAGTGTCAAACCTGAAGCAGTCTTCCTTGCTCCTGGGTCGAGGATGACCTACCACACCGGCCCATGGCCGTATGGATGCGACAGAAAGAGCATCGCTCGCGCACTCAAAGCGGCAGGCTGGGAAGCTAGACCTTTGCAACCACTGCAGAATGTGCCGGGTGGTCTTGTCTGGTCAGTCCAAGCAGTTTGCGAGCCCCCAACCAATGTGCTCGCCATGCAGCATGGGCAGGTCGTTTTGACACGCCATGACACAAAGCCAGCACCAGCTGATTTGCAGCCCAACGTGGTGGGTCAAGAAGCCACTGTGCGCATGTGCTCCACCATGTCTACTACAGAGACGGATCCGTGGCTCACGCATGACCCGTGGAAGAAGGCCATAGCTGCAGCCCCGCAGCCACCCGTGCCTGCTCCAACTGCCAATGCCTTGCAGGAGTTGGAAGACCGAGTCGAGCGCAGCATCTTAGCCAAGCTGCCCCAGCAGAATGAGGGTATGGAGGTGGACGACCAGGACCAGCGCATCGCACAGCTCGAGCTGCAGCTGCACCAGTTAGCTGGGCGCCAGACCCAGCTTGAAGCCACTGTCTCTGACAACCATGCCCAGCAGTCCGCCCAGGTCCATAACCTCCAACAGCAGATGCTTGTGCAGATGGACCATCAATCAAAGCAGATGCAGACGATGCTGACAGACCAGATGAGCAGGATCGAAACGATCCTATCCAAGAAGAGCCGAACAGAGTGACGGTCCGGGACCCCTGCGCAGAAGCCCGCTCGTGGGGGGATCCCATGGTTTTTCAAACCATTCAGGGCCTTTTTCCTCGCCTTTTTGTTTTTGCAGACTTGCCGCGTTGGTGAAGCTCGAAAGCCTGGCCCCAACACTGATCCGACTTGGAGCATCGGGATTTGCAATCCCTCTGGATTGCAAGGGAAGTATCAGTTGGTTAGCGGTGTTGATGCCAACATTCTGGCCATCAGCGAGTCTCATTTGACCAAAAGATCCATGCACAATTTTGACCTCAGCCTTCGGGCGATGCATTCACGTTTCACCAGAGTGATCACTGGTGCCCCTTTGGCACCTCGTTCCCACAGTAGCGATGCTGGAGGATATGCTGGGGTAGCATTCACCTCCACGTTCCCCTGCAGAACTGTCGCTGTCCCATGGCCTGCTGATGCATATGAGTCCAGCCGTGTTCAGATTGGTTCTTTCTTCAGCCCAGCAGGATGGGTCACAGGCTCCGTGGTATATGGCTACCCAGCCGGGAAAACACATGTGGATGCCAAGGCGAAGACAGAGCAGCTTTTGGATTTTGTCTTTAGTCACTTGCAGGCCGTGCCAGGTCCCCGCTTCTTTGCCGGTGATTGGAATTTTGAGATTCATGAGCTTGCCTTGGTTCCTCTCTTGCGTGCGGCTGGCTGGGTTGAAGTGCAGGACCTTCTGCATAGCCGTACTGGTGCCCCGGTGCAATTGACTTGCAAGGCAGCCACAAGAAAGGACTATCTGTGGTTGTCCCCAGAACTTGCGTTGGCCTTCATGGATTTGCACTTGGACTTTGAGACCTTTGCTGACCATGCAGTGCTTGTTGCCCAGTTCCACGGCGGAATCCATCACATGGAACGTTTTGTTTGGCCTTGTCCGAAACCTGTCCCATGGCAACAGGTCCCCGAGCCCCCTGGCGCTTTGGACTTTCAAGCCCCAGTTGACCCTACTGCCCAATACGCTGCCCTGTGGTCTTCCCGTGAAGCTGCTGCCAAAACTGCACTTGCTGGCGACTGGCTCCCCAGTATGCGAGGCCGAGGCCAACAAACCAAGCCAAGGCGAGTTGTGAGCAGACCTGCACCGATCAAGCAAGGTCGCAGCACTGATGTCCAGCCACACTTCTTTGGGTTTTCCGTTGTGCACACCCAGAGGTTCAAACAGGTGAGAAGGTTGCAAAATTATTGTCGATGGGTTGACAATCATGCCAATGGCCACTCCTCGGATCCATCTCATGGAATTGACCTGTGGAATTCTGTTCTGCGTGCCCCTGGTTTTGCCCCTACTTTCGCTCAGTGGTGGCCCCATCGACTGTATGTCAGCCCAGCGGACCCTGTCGACATGCCAGCGTACTGTCCTCCTCCTTGCGTTGCCCATCACATCTTCGATGCGGTCCTTGCTGAAGTCCGTTTGTTTGAACAGCGGTTGAACCAGATGCGTGCTGCCCACCGGATCCAACAACACAAGATGGATCGCAACCTTGTCTTTCGGGAACTTGCCCGACCTCAGGCAGCACCAGTTGAGTCTCTCCTTCACCAGGTGTCGGGAGTTGTGGAGTCGGTTGATGTTGATGAAAGTGCCATTGAGTTGAAAGCTCCAGTCAATGTCAGAGCTGACCTCACCCTGTGGGTTGGCGGTGCTCCTAAATCTGTCATCCATGCGGAAGCTGACAAGGTGTGGATTGATGATGTCACAGATGTCAAAGCAGATGCAGTCATGACCCAGTCTGAGCCTGTTGGTGATTTGGCCACCATTTTTGATGCTTTCCACACCCAGTGGAAACAGCGCTGGTGCCGGCATGACAACACTTCGTTCCGCCAGTGGGACCAGCTCCTTGGATTTGCCCAACGGATCATGCATCCCACCCCCATCCCCCACCTTGTTGTTGATGTTGACCTACTTAGGGCAGAAGTGCACCGGAAAAAGAAAACCGCTGCCACGGGGCTGGATGGTGTCAGCAGACAAGACCTCATCCATGCTGACCACCACACGCTCCAGAGCATCACAAATGCCTTCGCCCGTGCCGAGACGGATGGGGAGTGGCCATGCCAGCTTTTGGCCGGCAAAGTCCATTCGTTGGCCAAGCGCCCTGACGCCAGTGGCCCCAGCGACTATCGCCCAATCACTGTCTTTGGTTTGGCATACCGTGCCTGGTCCAGCCTTCAATCCAGACATCTGCTTCATTGGGCTGAAGAGTGGGTCGATCCTGGAGTGTACGGCAACAGAAAAGCCCGACAGGCCTCTGACCTTTGGCATTGGCTGCTTTTGCAGGTTGAAACTGCCTACAGTACGGGCCAACCAATTTGCGGGGTCTCAGCGGATTTGGAGAAATGCTTCAACTGCATTCCACGTTACCCAGCGCTGTGCCTGGCCATCCTTGCTGGGACACCTGCCTCGGTCACTACTGCTTGGGCTGGTGGACTTGCCCAGATGAAGAGGCATTTCAAAGTCAGGGAATCTTTCTCTGCTGGCTTCCTCACCTCAACTGGACTTGCCGAGGGTTGTGGACTCAGTGTGTACGGGATGCTCCTTGTCGATCATCTGTTCCACAAATGGATTTCCTTCCAGTGCTCCCCTGTCCGTTCGTTGTCGTATGTTGACGACTGGCATGTCTTTACCTGGGACCCTCAGTCCGCCCTGCGTCAGTTGGACTTGGTTGTCGAATTTGCCACCATGTTGGACTTGTCCGTCGACCGCCGCAAGACGGTAGCCTGGTCAACTGACCCCAACCTCCGTCAGCTGCTCCGTTCCCAACAGGTTACCGTTGTCCACCATGCCAGGGAGTTGGGCGGCCACTTTGGGGTGTCCCGGCAATACACAAGCAAAACAGTGGCACAGCGAATTGAAGCTTTGGAAGACCTCTGGCCCAAACTTCGCATGAGCAAGGCCAGATACCATGCCAAGGTATACATGCTGCGTGCAGTGGCCTGGCCGAGAGGTTTGCATGCAATTGCAAGTGCTCCCATCGGAGACAACATCTGGACTGAGCTCCGCCGCCGAGCCACGCATGCGCTCGGGCTGCAGCGCCCTGGTGTCAACTCCTGTGTCTTGTTGGGCCTTGTCGAACCGTGCACGGACCCCCAACATGTTGCCCTCCTTTGGACTTGCCGTGCTGCCCGAGCTGTTTGTGACTTGGATTTTTGGTCTGTGTCGGTTGCCTGTGCTGCTCACGGTGATGTTGACTTGCCACCCAATTCGGTCGCCTCCATCCTCCTCACCCGGATCCACCAGGTTGGGTTCACGATTGACCGTCAAGGTTATGTCAGTGATCAGTTTGGCCGCTTCTCCCTGCATCACACCAACTCAGCAGAAGTCGAGCTTCGACTGACATGGGGATGGTACCGATATGTTGCAGCGAAGGTGCATCACCGTGCGGAGTTTCATGGCCTTTGGTTAGCAGATGTTGCTCACACCAGGCGTGCTCTTGCCAGTCTTGGTGCAGATGACCAAGCGATGCTTCGTTTTGGCCTGGTCGGAGGCCTGTTCACCGAATCGTACAAGGCCAAGTGGGCTTCTCAGCCAGACACTTGTCGCTGGTGCGGCCAAAAGGACACCCTGAGTCACAGATACTGGGAGTGCATACAACATGCTGACCTGCGCCAATCCCTGGCCCCAGATGTCGTGCCAATTTGGACTCAGCTGCCCCCGGCTCTGACGCTACGTGGATGGGCTCTTGTTCCCCCTACCTGGCAACAATGGATTTCTACTCTTGCGGCCTTGCCTGACCAAGTCCTTCCCCCGGCCCAACCTCTTGGTCTTGAGGGTTGGAATGATGTGTTCACTGATGGCTCTTGCCTGTGGCAGTCAGCTGCCTGTTACCGACTTGCTTCCTGGGCTGTTGTTCTTGCCCCCCCCTGTCAGTCGTCATGGACTCCCGAGGCGACTACGGTCTTGTGTGCGTCTGCGTTGGCGGGTGTTTGTCAGACTGCGTTCCGTGCAGAAGTTTATGCTGTTGCGTATATTTTGCATTGGGCTGCCAATACCGGTGCAGCAGTTCGCATCTGGTCTGACTGTTTAGGGGTCGTGAACAAGGTGAAGTTGGCGTGCAAACGACAGTTACGGGTTGCAATCAACAGACCGAACAATGACTTGTGGCAATGGATTGTTGAGTCTATTGAACAGTTGGGCCCCGAGAAGGTACAGATCCGGAAGGTTGCGGCTCATCGCACTCTGCAAAGTGCAACGAATACAGTTGATGCGTGGGAGATTTTTCACAACAACTACGTTGACAATGCAGCGAAGCTGGCCAACCATGCAAGGCCAGAACAATTTTGGCGACAGTGGGAAACACATGTCCAAGAGACTCAGGTCGCTCACAATTTGGCTCAGCAGGTCCAAGCATTGCATGTTGCCGTCGGTCGCAGGCATGTCCGTGAGGACACAGCAGATGATCGTCAGGAGGTTCCGACTACGAGGGTCACCCGAGAGTTTGCAACAGCTTTTGGTTTTGGACAGTGGCATGGCCATGCGTTTCCACAGACGTCCAGGTTGTTTGGTGGTACGCATGTGGCAAGGGTGGTACAATGGTTTCAAGCCCGCACAGAAGGCGTTCCGTTGACAGATGTTCGATGGGTTTCATTTGCGCAATTGTACTTGGACTATCAGATGTGTTGGGGGCTCCCAGGTCCACTTCGTGTTCAGAACCAATGGGTGGACATCCAGATGAGACCCTATCTTACAACAGCTGGTTTTCCATTTCGCAAACAGCTCAAATGGTTCCGCCAACTGCTCAAAGCCATGTGGAAGGAATCCGCCATGGTTGTGGGAATGGCTCAGTGTCGACCAGACACACCAATGATCACTGCTTTTGTGCAGAGTGCATCGGTTCCTTGGGCGTCACATGCACTCACCACTGTTGATAACTGGCTTGCAAAGCAACTTTCCCGACCATGTTCCAGAGATGCTGGAGCCCTGGCGACACTGCCCGCGGCTGCGAGGTGCCCAGGGATGCAAGTGTAGTCCCAAAGAGGACCCAGTTAGTTGATCTCGCTTCGAGTGCTTCGCTCCAAGGACCGAGCATGCACATCGCCCGAAAAGATGGAAAAGATGGTGGTTTCAAACATTTTTTATTTTCCATAATATATGGGTTGTCATCCTTCCCATTGACGTTCATATTTTTTAAGATGGTTAAAACCACCAACCATATCATGATAGTTCATCTTGCTGTGCTCCAAGAGTCCGTTAGTTTCATGATCAAGAAATAAGCTCTTGATCCTTTTCAGACCAACTTCTGACGTACAAGGAGGTCCAACAGAATTACGTGAATGTTTTGCATTGTCACATTGAGAAACGAGCACACGATGATATGATGGTATCGGTATCGGTATAAGGTTCCTGCTCATCAAGATACGCTGTTGTACATGAAGTGATGGGCCACTTCTGTGGTTGCAATCAAAATTACACCTCAGCCCTAACATGGGTGTATCGTAACCCCATCATATCCCATCAACATCTAGATAATGTGGGTCAAAGTCAAAGTTTTCAATTTTATTAGCTCGCTAAAATGGATCGTTTGAAACTCAAAATGACCAGTCAAAGTTGTCAAAGTCAGGAGCGCTTTGCCCGGCAACAACGGCTGAAAGATCATCAGACCGAGGTATCTCCGGCAAACAAAAATCTGATGAGCCGGCTGGGTTTGTTGGAAAATGAGGTTTACCATGGTTTACCTCAAAAAATGTCAGTTTTCTGTGGGAAAATGATACGAAATGACACTCCAGATCTGGATTCCATTGGATTCCAGGGTGGCTTTGAAACAATTGAGAAAATCGGTCGTTTCCTATGGCTTTATGATGTTTGACTATATTTCATGATTATAAATTGGGCGTAATGTCGGTAATGTTCAAATTATTTGGCCCAAATAGATTCAGTCTCCCTCCTAAGGCTTTGCATTTTGGCTTTGCATTTCAGATATTATAGATTATAATATATATATATATATATATATTTAAATGGGTTTTTAATTTAAGCTCTACTTCTATCTCTCGCGAATTGTCAATACTGGGAACACAAATCTGAATGAAATGGAAAGAACGCTGCATGTTCTCAACATGCAGACCGTAATTATAGGAATAATGCTAGTAAATTGTTCTATTTGTCCACAAGTTATTTACAGATATATTTTTTTAAAATGCCGGTACCTTTTACAACTCCCGAAACCTAGACTTCCCATAGATATGTTCTTGAGACATCTTGAGACAAAATATTGGCATCATATGTATATACCTTCTCAGATGTCGTGCACCACCATGTTTTTTCCCCCCAATGCAACTGTTGTGGTCCGCTCATCTTCTGCGTTTTGCTCAGCTGATGGTTCGCGAAATCCTTTCAGAGAACGGGCTGAAGGCAGAGGCCAGGACGGCCAGGAGATGGTGATCAAGAATCCGCCTTGAGATTTTAGGGGTGCCCAATTTTGAGACAAACGCCTTGGGTTTTGAAGACAGCTTCATTTTTTTGGTGGTTCAATGACAATGATGTGAACGCTGGGACTTCAAGGCAGTGTCTTCGCTCTGCAGGCAGGCAAGCTGGTTGAAGAGTATGACACCCGAATGCACGATCGAAAGCAGGCGGGGATAGTACTTGACGCATGGTACTGGACGCAGTTGATCGAAAGAAGGTTGCTGGTACTGGTGGGCAGTTGTGGCAGTTGAGCAATGAGCAAGAGAACTCTGAACCTTTGCCAGTCATTTTGTATTGCAACCATGCACTCACCCAAATACATCCAAATACACTAGATATATTCCGTCGTCCCGTATAATTATTTATTACAGTGATTTCCCGATCGTATCCGATTGTAATGCTGCGGTGTGCCCATCCAATCCCACCCAATAATCAAATGTAATCGTCACACCGCTGACGAATTTTTGTGTACCTATGTCTCCAATCATAGTCAGATATTGCAAGAACAAGGGACCGCAGCCTTCAAGTCCTTTTTTCCAGTTGGTAGCGCTACCAGGCTCGTTTCCCCGTTCCAGCTGTTTCAGGCTCTTTATGGCCGTTGGGACGCTGAAGTAGCCCAGCGAGTGGAGTCTCACCGACTGTGAGTTGCCTGAATTGGACCAAGGGACTTTTGTTTTCTGATGTTTTCTGTTTACCCTCTTGGCGTTTGTTGACTGATGATCTGAGAAATGAGCTGTGGCCTTATCTCGTTGCATCTGGTTGCATTCTGCAGCTGCTTTACATCGTAACCTCGGATCCATGATGATCCATGCAGTGCTGATGATATACCCTCATGCTATGTCCATCAGTGAATTAAAGACCAGTCGGTAACATTGAGATGTTACATGACCCTGGGCGCACAGGTTTGTTGAGATGTGTTTTTCCTGTGGGCAACAAATTATGCCAGTGTGTTGATGTTTAGCCAGCAAAGTTATTTAATGATAGTTCATATACAGTATTTTTTTAGTTTTCCGATACTATTTCGGTTGATTTGCTCAGTTGACCACTGCTCGAAAAGCGATGGGTTCAAAACACCACATAGGCAGTCCGCCGAATCAGAAAAGACTCGAGTCAAGATGCTGCAAGCCAGCGAAGCGCTAGTAACTCATAAAGGAAATGTCTAGGCAGGGCTGCTGGCTGCGCTTCTAGCTTGAATTGAACGAGGATTTGCCACATTTGGGCCATGGCTGTTCAGACTGAGCTATCCAGTGCGTCATTGACCTCCAGTTGCAGAAATAACAGCAGTTCTTCAGCTGAATCGGCATCGGGGACTGGGAGCCCAATAGGGTGAAGGGCCGCGGATCTATGAGTCTACAAGTCCTGGGGGATCTCTTGATCCCGAAGGGTCACACGTCTATATAATGTTGGATGCTGATTGGTGGCTAGTTTCGGTATTGTGGCAATTTTTTCCCATATTATTCTGAACACATGTATTGTTTTTAGGTTTCACTATTGTGGCAAGAAAGTTTGGGAGACCATTTTTTTTTGAAAAAAAACAGCGTGTAATTGCTGAGAGGCAGACTTTTTTCAAAAACGCTGAAGTTCAGCCAAGTTTTTGCTCAGCCAAGTACTACAAATACCACAACTTCATCGGCAAAAAAACAGCTTTAATTATATAGATTTCAATTGTAGCCAATTGAAATCCTTACTTAAAGTGAGGATTTGTTTTTCCTGGGAAGAACATATTTGACTTTCCACTTTAAAGAGAGTACAGCTATTGTTTAGGGGGGGGGCCTTACACTAATCAGGAACCAACATTAATATGTTCAGGCCGGTACTGTCCAGTGCAAATCCTTAAAACTAAGCACTGAAACAACTGGAAAAGAACATATTAATAATGGTTCTGAATGGTTCTGATATCCCTCCCGCGCAAGCAATGTAATTTGCACCAGGAACACTGCTATTCTCCGGCCAACCCCCACAGGTGTGGAACCTCTCCCCAAACTGCACCACCTAGGTGCTGCAATTTCAAACTTGTGCTGTGGCAAGGAGGTTGATCTGAAAGTCGAGGCTCAACTGGGTTTCTGCCTCATGTACTTGTGATGCCCCTGAATTCGGGAGGCATTTTAAGGATTTTCAAGGATTTTAACCGTCACCATAGCCTTCATTTTCTCACTTCCAATCCGGTGGATTTCTGGTTTCATGCACCTTGTAACAGATGGCGAGCCAGGATCGTTGGTTGGGAAACTTTGAGGAAGTCCCCGAGTATCAACGAAGATCGTCCCGGGGCTAAGGCGGCTAAGGACAGGGTCCCTTGGGAGGGCGAAGCAACACCAGTGGATCTGGATTTCTGGGATGTTTTGATACATTGATAATCAATACCCTCTGGTTATTTAACATAGCCATGGAAAATGGCCCATTTATAGATGGTTTACGGTTTACCTATTGAAAATTGTGATTTTCCATGGCTATGTTAAATAACCAGATGGTAAATAGTACGTAAATAGATGTAAATAGATAATGAATTGAATTGAAATTCAATTAATATATTCAATACTCCTTACATCTCCTTACAAACCCTGGGTGTGGTGAGATTTGGTAAGCTTTCATGATATTTTGTCAGCTTTCAAGATGTTCACCTGGGGGCAAGGATTCAATTGCGAACTCTCCCAAGTATTTAAATGATGTTCCAGGTGTAGCTGACTGCACCTTGAAAGCTTAAAAATTTCGCACGGCTGGTCGTTTCGAAGCGCTGATCGTTGACAAGCTTGTCGGCTGATCGTCTAAGGTACATCCTCAGGCACTACCGCCTTGAAGCTCCGCGAATGCGTCACTTTTGGCTTCTGCACAACGAGTTTGGGAATATGTGGCATTTTGGCTGCAGTGGACATTGTCTTCTTCGGTATGCTAATTGGGATTGATCGCGGATGGTGTATATAGATGTGTGATGATGTGTGTGCATATATATATATATATGTACACATTTGTACATACAATATATGTTTTTGGGTGCTTTCGGGGTTCTAGCACTCTTGCAGTGCAGTCTGAACTTTTTGATACATAGGCTACATAGGATTGAAATCAGCTTGTAGATGGTTGTAGTTTCGAAGTTGTGTGAGACCACTGGTCCATTCGGATTTTGGAGCAACCCTCCCTTGCCGTTCTTGCGCAAACGAGCTCGCCCAGGACCCATTTGGTCGCTCTAGCACTCTGGTTGCACAAATTGGTTGCGGGGTTTCCATCCTTTGACAAACTGCCGATTCGCAGTTTCCAGTGTCAGTATCACCGTTTTATTCTTTGTTTCCGCAATAGTAGCAGCACCAGTAGCAGTGATAATAGATCATAAATAAACAAACAAATATATATATAATATATATATAATATATAAATGTAATGATAGTAATGATGATATGTATTAATAATGGTAGTTCTTGTTGTTGCACTGTCAAAGGATTGGTTCAGGACTGTCAAGTTCGTTACCCCGCTTGTTGCTGGGCTCCATGAGGTTCTGACATTGGCCAGATTTGGCTCCTGGTTGCACTACGAGCTACAGGACTCCAACCGCCAACGATTTGGGCCTGTACGGAATTGGAAGCATCCTCTCAAATCTGAGTTTTCTCAAGATATGTAGTGGTATATAGTGGTATAACTATTATATACATAATATTACAATGATAATAGATATTCAATGTGTATAGTGTATATGTATGTATATGTAATTATTATAGTATATTGAGATATGATATGTCATTGTTTGATATGTTTTGATCCCTTTCTTGCGATGCAGGACTCTTCGTCCGGCCTCGCTTGGCCGCGGCAAATCTACGCCGCGGGCGTGAGGGACCGAGGGGACCGAGGGGATCGAGGGGATCGAGTCATTGGATGAGAAAGCCCTATGGATCCCTATGGGTTGATGATGAACTATCAAAAGTGGAGTATTTCACCATCAAGATGGGGATTTAAGCATCATCTATATTCATTTATAGGTTAAAACTTATGACAATCAAACATATGGTGATATAATAAAGTAGATAATGGTTGGTTGATGATCAAGAAAGAGGCTACTACCCTTTATGGGGGATGTACAGCAACTGAACAGAATTGAAGAGATGAATGATGTGGTAAACCCAATGCTATTAACGCCTATATATACACCATTCAAGGATGATGTCACCCATTTATGGCAAGATTGGGGATGGTTTATGTTTTCTTAATCACCCTTATTGTAGCAAACAAAGGGAGCCTCGGGCCTTATGCAGTAAGTGACCTTTTTTCTGTCCCAAACTTGGAATTCAGCCAAGGCAACTAGTCCAGATGCCACAAGTGGCGCGTTTCTACTCTCAGGTGGTGAGTTTCTACTTCGCAAGCTTGCTCACTTTTGGAATTTCTGCAACTTGGCTACAGTTAGCAAAGCTGGGTTGTTCGTTTACCCAACATGGGGATCAACCATCACTCCGCAATGCGCGTATTGTAAATGACAGTGATTGATCCTGAACCCGAAGTCATGCAGACAGAGGAATCCTGTATTCAGGTGATGTATCACTGGAGACAGTCTGGAAAGGAGCGGGAGGCAGGGTGTAGGCTTCCCTGTGTCGTCACAGCCTTTATGGGCATGTGGCAGTAGCCCATTTGGAACAGACACAGCAAGGTTAAAATCTGCGGTGTGGTACTTGTGCCCACACAAGAATGCTATCCAGGGATAGGTTCACTTGTCACATTTGGTCAAAGATTGAAATCCGCAACAATTTGACATTGAAATATCCGCCCACACCGCTTTGGCGGTGAAGGCGTGCTTATTGGGGGGCAACGGGGGCAACAGCAACACTAAATGCTCAATGACATTTGTTAATATAGCAGTCGCTATATCAGCTTTAGCTGGGGGGGGGGCCAAAAACGGTTTCGCACCGAGATTAGAATACGGTGGTGTTTTCGACATTTTTCGAGGATTTTTGGGTGTCTGAGCGCAAGAGGGTATTGAAATGGAATTTTGGGTCATTTTGGTAGCTTTCCGGCAATGGAAAAACGGCCAAAAATGAAAAAAACATAAAAAAACATTGTACATAGCAAGATTTTGCAGGGTTTTTGGATGCCAGAGCATTGAAAACACTGCAAAAACAAGTGTTTTGGACTGACGTTATAGCAAAAAACGTGTAAATTACCGTATGCTTGACTGGAAACATTACAAAAACACTGTCAAAAGCAATGTTTTGGAAGGATTTACTGCCTTTATGGCAAAAAACGTGTAATTTACCGTCTGTTTGACTGGAAACATTGGAAAAACACTGTCAAAAACAATGTTTTGGAAGGATTTCTTATATATATGTTGGAGTTGGCTGCCGGCATTGGAACATGGAAAAATTGAAGAAAACACTGTAAATAGCGGTATTTTCAACGGTTGGGGAGATAAGGGAATTGGAAGCATTGTCGAACATGATGTTTTCGACCGGTTTTATGGCGACAAAAGTGTAAAGTACCGTGCTTTGAAGGAAACCATTGCAAAAACATGGAAACACATTCAAAGAGCACGGGATTTGGGGGACTATCTAGGCGTCGTTGTCTAGCAATTTGAAATTCCGCAGCTTGGAGAGCCTCCAAGGGAGGCAAAAGTGAAAATTCCATAGCTTGGGAAGCTGTCACGGCGGGGAAAAGTGAAAATTCCCTAGCTTGGGAAGCCCCCACGGGGGGGGAAAGTGAAAATTCCCTAGCTTGGGGAGCCCCCACGGGGGGGGAAAGTGAAAATTCTTAGCTTGGGGAGCCCCCACGGGGGAAAACCACCCTTAGCCCCTCTCACGGACCGAAATAAACCTGCGGTGTGGGCGGCCACCCCACGCGAAGCGGGGTGAATACTTTGAGGCATTATTGATCTATATGAATCCTCTAATTTATTGACGTGGTGTGGTGTCTTGATGGTAAGAGTCTATATATCGCCCCATGCGGACGTTTCAACACGTGCCGTGCCAGGTGAAGTGTTGGCTTTGCCTTGACATCTCCTGTTGTGCTTTGCTGCTGCTGGTGGGCTTCATAGCCGGAGTTCCCATGGGTGCCCCAGCCTGTTTTTTTGTGCAGAGATGGTACGCCATGAGTCTGACGTTGTGGATGCCTTTGTTACACACTGAGGTACGACTGATGACAAAACATGTTATGTGTTGCTTTGTTCTGGGAAAGGCCTATTGATATTATTGGATGTGAACAGAATACATCAGAATACTAATTATACAACAAGCAGTCGAGTTGTGTTTTTGGACGGGAGCCAGGCTTTCATTGCCATCCAGAGCTTCAGAAGGGGTACATGCTACAGGCAATCACCGTGGCCCTTGCAGCTTTGGGCTACTTGGTTCTAACGGCTCCACATTGTCTGCTATAGCCGATGGGAAGGAAAAGTCTACTCCGACTGGGCCTAACGATGGGTGAAACATGGTGAAACATATAAAATGGCAAGAACCACCTTAAGCATCGCACAAAGTATCACCATCAGAGGATGCGATGGGCCATAGGACTTTACATCAGCTTAGAAATCCCCCATTGACTTCGATCATAAACCGTTCTTGGCTTGATGTGCTTTGATTATAACCCTGAAGATACGGTAGTAATAGAGTAAAAAACAAACATAAACCATCCCCCAGTCATCACCATTTCTATAGGTGGTATAAACCAAATTTGTGGTTTATTATTGTTTGTTTTACCCACATTACGGCAAAATCCCAAAAAGTTGACGGGCCATAGAAAAGTCTGGCGAACTTGTACCAGCCATTTCCTTCTGCTCAGGTGCCTTTGCTTCTGAGAGTCACGCAACACGCGGGCACCGGTCCTCCCACACGCTGATCCTTGGGGGCATCAGCAGCTTGACGACCGCTTATCATCAGGAAACGCTATATGAGTTGGGAATATCATTGGGATTTATATAATGGGAGTATCATTGGGAATAGATGGGATAATTCTATAATATATAAATATAACCAAGAAATGGATACAAATGGCTAAATAGTTGGAACCTGACATGCAGCAAAGCTGAATTGACCTGAGTTTGTGGCTTTGCAACTAGCTCCGATCTCTTTTGAGACTTGTTGAGACATCACAACCAGGTATAGTATGCCATAGTATGCCATGCTGCAGATGCGCGCAAGGTGCTTTGTGGCCAGCGCTACATTGGCTGATTTTGTCCACTGAGGGTCGTGAGGTGGGCTAGAAGGGCGTCCAGATGCAAACCAACAATGGTCTTTGCAATTGGAGATATTATATTAAATAAAATAATATTAAATATACATATACACTCATATACACATATAGTATGTATATGCAGCAATAGAAATAGATAACATTACAATACATTACATATCATTACTAAATAATATTACATATAAATAATTATACAGTATACCTGTATATAGTTACATATGATTATAGTCTGTCAAACCAACTAATTAGTATATATATATATAATATATATATATACATACACATTAATATATATATATATATTATATATATATATATATTATATATACATACACATAATAATATATATATATATATTATATATATTACAATATATATATAATATAACTAATATGAAATATGAGAGTTTGATCCAGTACATATATTATCCTATGAGTCAACCTTGTAGCGCATCAGGCTGCAGGGGCTTGGCTCGTGCTGGTCATCATCTCTGGCAGTTTCGCACCATGGCAGATGCAGGTCTCAGGTGGCCAAAGATGGGTTGACATGTAAAATATGTCTGTTTAAGATGATATGTGTATATATATAATATATATAGATAAGTATATATATATATGTATATATATATGTATATATATATGTATATATATATATGACCTCATATATAGCATAAATTGAATCAACCATCTAAATCAACCAACGTGTGATCATATAGATTACCCAACGTGGCTTTGGATCGCCGTGAAAAACCGAGGCAGCGACATTTTACACCAAAAACATCCCCGCAGCTTGGAAAAACAAGCTGCTGCCGGCCGTGTGTTTTGCTGCAAAATGGAGAAACACTTCGGAAAGTGAGTCGACGATTCTTAGACACTCACAACTCAATATACTTTTTTTTTGGATTACCCACCAGTACACTTGACTTATATGGATATAGAAAATCCGCAGTTGAAGTGGATCATTTCCCAATGGGAAAGCCATGGAGTTCCACCGCTATCCCCCAGGAATGCTTTGCACCTGGCCGTTTCGACCTGCTTTGCAATAGCCATCAGTTGCTGGGCATCGACCCACGGAATTTTTGAAGAGTGACTTGAATAGAGTTACCCTCTGGCAAACTAACATAGCTATGGAAAATCACCATTTTTTTAGTGGGTAGATAATCTATAAATGGGGATAATCATGGATAATCAATAATAGCTATGTTCGTTTTACCACAGGGTAAATGAGTCATTAAACGAGTTAAATCCGAGCATTTATACTTGGCAGATGAGTGGTGGAGTATTGCAAGATTCCACCTTGCAGTTTTTGTTGAATGATGCTAACTCAGTTTCTGGCACATCAAACGGTCACAGCACTTTAAAGTGCACGAGATGTTTGAATTTTCCACCTTTCTTCACTGGCTCTTTGGCAGCAAGGGGAGTGGTCCATTGGTCCAGCAGACCTGGTGGATCACATCATCATCATCATCATCATCTCAGAAAAAATCACCTACCTTTGGGCAGCACATCTGCAAGGCTTTGGCACATTTTCATCTACGTGGCCATTGCAGCCTATGGGGAAGCCGCCTGGCAGAAACCAGCGAAGGATGTTCTCAGCCATTGGGGAAGTAGGTAAGTAGCAGTAGTACCACTGCCCAGGCACTCGTGGTTGTCTTCAAGCTCACGGCGAGCTCATCCTTTTGTCGATGAAGGCGCTGAAATCCAGGGTTTACACTAAACTGCCGTTGATGTTGAGTCATGTTGAGTCACCAATGTGGATCATTTGATGTTTGAAGAGCAACCCTTTGCATTCCACCGAAACATGTTTTTCCACTTCTATAGTACAAAGCTCTCTGATGTACTTCAGTGCACTTGCCAGTGTGTTGTCATGTTCTTTGTGAGAGTCATTTCATCGTGATATCTTATTGCAGAGATAAGGATGATAGACAGCTGGGAGAAGATTTGGCGCCGCGTCAAAATTTGGGAATCAATGGATTTGAGTAATTTTTGAGATATTTCAACATAGTTCAATATGCTGTCCTATTTTTGCTCATCCAATTTTGACGCGCACCCCTTGCATTCCCCGATTGCCGCTGGGAAATCGGCTCCAGGAGCTGAACCGATAAGTGTTTTCATCGCTGAGAGCCCTCTGGATTGCAGAGGTTTTGCCTCAGCTTCGCAGCAAAAGCAGCAGCTGATTCGTCAAAGTTCCGCAATGTTTCGAAGCACGGGAACCACACATGACCAATTGTGATGCACAACTGCAGCTTATGCTGTGTGAATCGTTGGGATCACTTTAATTGGATATGAATGGATATGATGGTTCCATCATGTTCCATATGGTTCCAAGATTCACTGAGAAATTGGCTGCAAAATTCAACATATTCAGAGCAGTTGGTCTGCGCGGCAGTCTCTGCTGATCAATCCCTGGTCTGGGGGACAGTGTGGCACAATGTGCCAACAAACGTCCCCTCGGTACGGGGCCGTCCACCTCTACCAAGACTGAGATGACAAAAGGTGCCACAGTTGGCTAAAGCTCATAATTCTGGGATAGTAAGGGTTGGAGCAATTCATTGCTCTTAATTATATACTATAATTATATGTCAAAAAACTGTCCAAACTTCATGGTTGTAGTCAGCTATGCTTGATGATGTGTCTCATTTCCCTCCGCCGCTGCTGAATGGTTTGCTCATTTTCGCAGCGTAGGAAGTTCACCAGCGGCTCACATGGCTGATCCAACGAAGGAAAATGTGCTCCTGGTTTGGGACTATGAGTCTCGGCTAAGCGACGCTTTATGATCACTCTGTTTGGAGGTTTGTTCTCTCTGAACTTTGCAGATATGATTCCAGTACATCACAGAAATTATGCACATGGTTTTCGTCCTGCTCCATCAGGGAGGTCATAATACATATAATGCACCTTGGTTCCAACATCTATCTTCAAACAACTTGGTTCCAAGGTGAAGTAATTTCAGGAACCATGGATCTTTTTGCTTTGCCCAAATCACTGGTCCCACTGTCGAAAAACTGAGGATTGGAGCTTGATCAACACCAATTCTGTTGCTTGGCCACATTTCTTTACCCGGTTTTACTGTGTCACGTCAGTCATTTTCCAGATTCTGCGGTAAAAATGGATAAAAATTGCATGGGGTATACCATGATACCATGGTATAGCCCTGTTGGGAATGAGGTTTACCATGACCCCAGTCTTGGTTGGCGGCCGAGGACACCTTCGTGGTGGATGCGCTACATCCAGAACTCATGGAGCGATTCGACAGCCCCATGGGAGCCTTGGGGAAAGGGGAGTGGGACCTCGGTGAAACACCATGGAAGATGTACAATCCCAATGTGTTGATGATAAATATTTATCAAGGTATATTGAGATATATTTGGATCTGCTGAGCGTTTAGGTATGAAACATTCTTGTAATGCAATGATGAGAGTCTCCAATTTTGCGAGTAAGGAGCATCACAGTCACATACCATCATCAGTTCACAAGTCACGAAAACAGCTGACCATGTTGCCAGTGATCCATAGGAATGCTGACAGACCCCATGAATTTCCAAGGATGGACTCAGCTCATGGATCAACAAGTCAAAGAATTGTTTGCTCGCGGAGTTTCACGCTCCTTGGATTCCGTGGATGAACATCCACAGGGCTTGGGCAATGTTGGTTGATGATCATTGTTTGTTGGGCTGTAGTTTTTTAGGCGTGGAGATCCCAATCAACAACTCAACAACCCCGGTTGCCAGTGGCAAACAAAATATGTCATCCCCAATATCACTAGACATAGGTGGTGTAAACATAATATTTTTGTAACCATCCAACATTAATCATCAAACATTGGAGGTGGGATTCCAAGCATCCCCCAAATGGGAGCTTTATGGCGGTTTCTCACATTACCATCATGAACCATATATTGACCATAGATTCATGAATATTCTTTTATCATCGTGTATCATATATCCATATTTATAACCATATTAACCATAGCCATAGATTAACCAATATTATTATATCCATATTACAGAAATGCATTAGTGTTGAAACAATCCAACATAGGCGTTGAAAGCTGCCTAAGCCCCTGACTTTTTCGAAGGTGAGCGACTCGAAGCAGTGGTCTCAGCGGTGCCAGTGTTTCCTGGTGCCCTTGATGCCATACGATCTGCGCAAGAAGCGCAGGCTGGGACCGACCTGGTGGTTGATAAAAAGATGGGATTACTCAATGGCTTGGAAAAAAGGGAAAGTTTCAGTGTGGAAACCATGGGTTTTTCACAGCAATGGGGATTTCCTCTAGATTTTCCCTTGAACCAAACCAGCTACCCCATTGGGGACGATAATAATCCAGCTGGGATTTTCCGGATCCTAACATGGCCGGAGCTACTGCCATCTAACGACAGATTTTGAGAACATGTCCCCTTATAATCCCTTATATACCATTACATAGCCCTAAAAAATAGGCCTTATATCCCCCATGTATAGCTCACTATAAAGTGGACATCCTTTGCGCTTATAAAGTGGGTTTCCGGTCGCCACTTTATATACCGACAATGGGGGATAAAGCCGTGTTTTGCGCGAGAAACATGCCCTTGGACCTGGAAGATGACTTTATAGCAACGTTGGCTTTCCAGTTTATACCCGGCTGGTTCCCCACAAGGAAACGACTCAATATATGCGGCAATGCATTTTATAGACCGTTGGTTCCCTTCAAAGAATGGCCATAATATGTCACACCATCCACTTTATAGAAACATGTCTCCCCAATGATTTCGGGCCAATATCTTTCTGTTGGGGCTGTATACATGGCAAAGCACTTTATAGAGTGAAACTTGCCCTGAAACTTGCCCTTTAAGAAGAAGAATTTGTGCTGCATCCAGGGCACTTTATAGAAAGAAAATTGCGGCAGAGCATTTTATAGAGTCATGAGATACATCACCCAAATCACTTTATAGAGCTGCCCAGGACCCCATTCACCCTGAGGACCCCTTTCAAGGGAAATCTTCTTCTCTATAAAGTGGCCAGTCCAGGTAAAACCCCTGAAAAAACAGAATCTATGTTGGACTGGCCACTTTATACCCCCTCCCCAAACAGAGAATGCCTCTATAAAGTGGCCAGTCCAGGTAAAACCCCTGAAAAAACAGAATCTATGTTGGACTGGCCACTTTATACCCCCCTCCCCCAACAGAGAATGCCTCTATAAAGTGGCCAGTCCAGGTAAAACCCCTGAAAAAAACACATTTTTACTGGAATGGCCACTTTATACCCCCTCCCCCAACAGAGAATGCCTCTATAAAGTGGCCAGTCCAGGTAAAACCCCTGAAAAAACACATTTTTACTTGGAATGGCCACTTTATACCCCCTCCCCCAACAGAGAATGCCTCTATAAAGTGGCCAGTCCAGGTAAAACCCCTGAAAAAACACATTTTTACCTGGAATGGCCACTTTATACCCCCTCCCCCAACAGAGAATGCCTCTATAAAGTGGCCAGTCCAGGTAAAACCCCTGAAAAAACACATTTTTACCTGGAATGGCCACTTTATACCCCAGCCAGTGGGCTCCAGGACTTTGACCCGGAAACGGAAGGGCTGACAACAAGGTAAAGGGGGAAAACTACAACGGAGAGGTACAACGGGAAGGCTACCACAAGAAAATGAGACATGTCACGTTTATATACGTTTATTGTTTTCAATGTGTCATATAGATTGGCGATGATTGGTATATTGAATATGTTGTAGATGTATTTTGGAACATATGTATACCTATGATTCACACATCAATATAATATATATATAAATCATAAACACATGCCAAACCAAAAACTTTTAGCTGAGTATTGTATTCCCAATCTGTTGGCAAATGTCCAGCCGATTCACCATGCGTGACCCAACAAGATTCAAACTATGGATTGTTTACTTTTGAAAAAAAAAAATACTGGGTGAATCTACGTATATCTATGACGACAATCTCCCAAAATCATCCTAAAAATCTATGGACATCTATGGACCAAAACCACGGCCACATGCCCATCCTCTATAAAATGGTTTGCAAGAAAGTTCAGCTCTATAAAGTGGCTTGATCACGTCATTTCTGGCAGCCCCACCCTCTGTATAAACTGGCCGGTCCATGCCCATCCTCTATAAAATTGTTTGCAAGAACCAGTAAAAAAATATTTTCGAAAGTAAACAATCCATAGTTTGAATCTTGTTGGGTCACGCATGGTGAATCGGCTGGACATTTGCCAACAGATTGGGAATACAATACTCAGCTAAAAGTTTTTGGTTTGGCATGTGTTTATGATTTATATATATTTATATTGATGTGTGAATCATAGGTATACATATGTTCCAAAATACATCTACAACATATTCAATATACCAATCATCGCCAATCTATATGACACATTGAAAACAATAAACATATATAAACGTGACATGTCTCATTTTCTTGTGGTAGCCTTCCCGTTGTACCTCTCCGTTGTAGTTTTCCCCCTTTACCTTGTTGTCAGCCCTTCCGTTTCCGGGTCAAAGTCCTGGAGCCCACTGGCTGGGGTATAAAGTGGCCATTCCAGGTAAAAAGGTGTTTTTTCAGGGGTTTTACTTGGACTGGCCACTTTATAGAGGCATTCTCTGTTGGGGGAGGGGGTATAAAGTGGCCATTCCAGGTAAAATTCTCTTTTTTCAGGGGTTTTACTTGGACTGGCCACTTCATAGAGGCATTCTCTGTTGGGGGAGGGGGTATAAAGTGGCCATTCCAGGTAAAAATGTGTTTTTTCAGGGGTTTTACCTGGACTGGCCACTTTATAGAGGCATTCTCTGTTGGGGGAGGGGGTATAAAGTGGCCAGTCCAACATAGATTCTGTTTTTTCAGGGGTTTTACCTGGACTGGCCACTTTATAGAGGCATTCTCTGTTGGGGGAGGTGGTATAAAGTGGCCAGTCCAACATAGATTCTGTTTTTTCAGGGGTTTTACCTGGACTGGCCACTTTATAGAGAAGAAGATTTCCCTTGAAAAATTCCTCAGGGTGAATGGGGTCCTGGCGCGCCGCGCGCGCGCGCGCCAAAAAGGTGTCAAAATTGGAGCCATTTTGGCGCGCACGCGCGCGCGCGCGCGGCGCGACCAGGACCCCTTTCACCCCAAGGACCCCTTTCAAAGGAAAGTGTGTTAGAGGCATTCTCTGTTGGGGGAGGGGGTATAAAGTGGCCAGTCCAACATAGATTTTGTTTTACCATAGATTCTGTTAACGACTTCGATATAGATATTTGTCTGGCTGTCGGTTTCGTTCGGTTTCGAAGTCATTCGAAGTCTTTTGGGTTCCCCATCGATGAGATCGATGATATTCCCCCAAGGTTTGAACGTGGCCCCTCAACTTTATAGACAATCATGTCGATGCTGCCATCGTCGCGATTAAGAAAATCATCGCTACTACAACGATCGTTGTTTAGCCGGAAATCCACATTATAGTGCCACTGTTCTGCACAAGTATTACTATCTGGATGTTCGGCATCTCACTTTATAGTCATGGGACATGTTCACAAGTACCCTCAAAAACCTGCATCGAGTTTTATGTTTTTACGCGGCCAGGCGACTTTATACAAACGTTGGATTTTGACTTTATAGACAAAACATGTTGGCTTTCCACTTTATAGACTCCAGACATGTGGCCATTCCAGTTTATACCAGGCTATTCTCTATAAAGTCGGCCGCAAAGCATCTAGCGGGCTATACATGGGGGATGGCCTTATATATTGATATATATATGTATGATTATATATATATATATATAGGGTAGGTACCTCCAATTCAGGTACTGGCCACTGATTTCATGTTCAATAGATATGTTTCAGATCTGCGGAATCTATTCAAATCTGAAAAGTAAGCCCCTGCCCAGCAGGTCACCAGCTCACCTGTGGTCCCAGGCAAAGCAGATGGTTCTGAGCGATGCCAACACGATTTTCATTGAGGCGGAAAGCCGGTTACCCTCTGGTAAATTAACATAGCTATGGAAAATCACAATTTTTAATGGGAAAATCCACTATATATGGTCATTTTCAATAGCTATGTTAAATTACCAGAGGGTAGTAAGTGGGGTTATAACCCACTTATAAGTTCGATGTAACCTCTGGGGGACTTGCCAGGGTCATTGACCAGCTACTAAGCCTAAGATATGCCACTAAAAAACCCGGGCAACATGAGTTCAACGCACACGACTAAACCATCAGAAAGTGTTCCAAGGTCCATTCTGGATGTATACCCTCTGGTTATTTAACATAGCCATGGAAAATGGCTCATTTATAGATGGTTTACCTATTAATAGCATGATGATTTTCCATGGCGAACTGTTAGTCATAACCAGATGGTACATTCGCCATGTCAGCTGTCCTCAGCGTTGGCGTTTAAGTTGTTTCAGGCATTTCTCCGAAAGGAAGGGCTTCGGCATTGCTTCTCAGCCACATGGCAACACGCTGATTTTCTCATCCCCTAAAAACTCTTGAGTTTTTTAATGGTTTTCTATGTTTTTCCCCATTGTGGATCTTTGGCTTTTCTTTAGTTGACTTTCCTCAGAACGTGGGATTTTACGGATTCGGTTTGTTGCATCAGTGCGCAGCCAAGGATGTCATCTCAAATCCAGCCGACTTCGATCACGAGGGCAGGTTGCATATCAAGCCCTTTCATGCGGGGTGCACCCAGATGGTTCAATGATGTGTCCAGCTCCGCGGGAAAAATACAGAATGAGTTGATGCTGTGCTTTCTACAGAATTGTTATGAGATATCGGTGAGATTTCGTGGCATATGTGGCATCCGCATCTTTTTGTGAAGATATCGTTGATATGTTTGGACATAGTCAGCATCATGGCTATCTCACCATTTTCTTCTGTTTCCTCCTCTTACAGGAAGAGCCACGGCTTTCTAAGGAGGGTGAACCTCATGGCTGCCCACTCTGCCCCAGCAATTTGTGCAAGGTGGTTGGGGAATCCATTTCGCAGATCAGTGGAATCTGCTGCAGCTGATGGAAACTGTCAAAATCTCCAGGGAAACTTGCACTCATGCACTCACAAGTTTTAGTCGTTTTCAATAACAGATATCAACAGATCCCTTTTTTGGGTGCTACCCCAGGTTGACTCATACCCACGCGATTCTTGATTTTCTTGTTGTGGCTATAGCATGTTGTAGTTTTCATCCTGCAACTTTGTGATCCCAGAACAAACGTAGCCCCGTTCCAGACCTGGAAGGAAGTGGTGCCGTGCTATTGGATTTTGGGGTAAGATTCACTGGACACAGCCACATGGTTCCAACCAAACAAAGGCACTGGATTCAATGACCCAAATTCAGATCTTGCAGCGCAGGGGCGCGTTCTAGAGCAGATTCTGGCCAGCTTTTCCCCTTCGCGCGTGGCTTATGTGGGTGATGGTGGTGGAGACTTTTGTCCTGCCTGCGAACTTCGTGCCTTGGAGTGCTGGTTCGAATGGGAGACCCTGAAAAGAAACACGAAAAGAATGGGTCATTTTAAGAGGTAAGCCTCCCGGGTAGACCTGATAAACATTGATAAACCATTCAATTTTTATCCAATTTAGGGATTCCCTGATGACTCTTAAATCTGACCCAGACATACGCACGATATTGAACCGCATCCAGCATGACTCCACCGCCCTTGTCAATGGTGCGTGTTTGGGTGCAAATTGGGGTACCAATTGGCCAACAAGACTGATGGTGTTTAGCAGATTGGCATTAGTCCATCCATTTTGGGGGGCCAACATTTTTGTCTCGTGGCCTCCTGATGATTCTACATTCTGAGAGTGAATCGTCCTGCCAGGCTTTTACCCATTATTTCATGGCCACAAACTGCTGTCTCCCCTATTTCGATGGGACAGTCATCACTAAGGGAAAATGTTCACAAAACCCATGGACCCCCCAAACAACTTCATGGTAAAACAATAGAACCACACACTTGCTCAGAACAGTCATTGCGAATTCTGATGTGGAATGCATCTGACGTGCAAAAACACCAACAGTAAAGTCACACGAAGAATGAATATTTATAAAATTATATATAGACGTATAATCACAGTAGACAGTGACCGTATAAAACAACAGCGATAATATGCCCCCCCCCAGCTGCGACTTATATGCGCCCAGGGGCGGGACTATACATATATATAAAGTTGCAGGTACAGGAAACCGGCCACGTTTCCCATCCCACTCATGGTAGGACATGAGTGCCACACGCCCCTGCAATATAGTGAAGTTTTACATCTATACAGATGGTACACACACACACACAAATTCTGATCCCCCAATATTAAATACCCCCACCAAGTGACCTACTAAACAAGGCTTTCTAGGATTTTTTAAGGTTGTTTTTTGGCCTTACGAGGAAGGAATTATTCACCCCCAATCTATCATCATTACAGTTGGTTACATACCCATTTGAGCCGTTACAAATGCCATTGTTGATTGGTCATTATAGCGGGTTATACTATTATAATATTGTACTACTGAATACATTGGGGATGAAAGATAACCAAAACCATTGGAGATTCGGAGATACCTATTAACCAACCAGTAAAATGGGATGAGATAGGGGTGTTCATGGCTCATTTACATAATTTAACATCCCTTTTACCATTTGCGAGTAAAAAAAAATAACAATTTAAATTATGTTAGTCACCTATAGCATTGTTGGACTATCAAATATATGAACATGAAAAATCCGAATCATAATCACATATCATTTTCATAAATAATTTCTATATAAGTTATGTAGGATTCCAATAATTCATGTCTATTTAGCAAAAATAATTCCCATATCACCGTGTCAAACTTGTTAGTATATTATAGTAGGATTAATCCCATATAATCCCTAGCCAAGTTACTGTATACTATCATATCAATAATCCCGTTATATCCCAACTTATAATCCCATAATCCCATATGATTTAGTGTAATTAATGTATCATTAATTAATCCCACATAATTCCATTTAACCACCTATAAACTTCTATAACCTTCTTTGACCTATAACTATAACTTTCACAGAATCCCATACCTACAACTATATAATTCCATCTAATCCTATATGTTTCCCACGAAAATTCCTCCCATCAATGGGGCCACCGTTGGCCGCGGCAAGGTCCCCAGGATCTGCTGCTCTGCCGCGCACCGCCCAGCGAGCCGTTGAAACGCTTCGGTCTGCTGAGACGCCTCGAAGGACCAGCACAGGTCAGAAGTGCTGAGGGATGGGTGAAGTTTGAGGTGTACACAGATCTATATAGAATAGATAGGTATAGATACAGATAAGTATAGATATAGATATGTAATGTATAGGTGTATAACGATATCTATATATATACATATATATATATAGATGAATGTCTTTACAAATCGTTTGTAATTATATGATATAAATATGGCAAAATAGAGAGATAACTAGAGATAGGTGTGAAAATTTCGATTCTATCTTATAGATATTGGTAGACCATCCGGCTCTTTGGGCTGTTGTGGTCTGCAACAGGGGGTTGACCTTCATTTTGTGGCCATTAAGAAATGGGGAACGTATTGATCAACCGTATTATTAGTTCCAATGGTGTTTAGTCGCAATAATTAACTAGGAATAATGTCAAGAGATTAACACCATCTGTTCAATTGATGTATATTTTTTTGAAATATTGGTTTGGGATGTTTATCACTATCAAGGCACGGGGGGTCGGATACCCACTTTGCTGCTCTTCATGATTGCTCTATCATTGATTGGATTGTCCCCGGTGTTTTGGATTTTCCCGAAGGAACAATCAAATAATATTTTTTCTGGAAATTGTTGTTTGAGTCAGGCCGTCGCGTTTCACTCCTTCGGCAGGCAACACGCCGTGGTGGAATTGCCAAGGTTGTAGCCAAGATTGTGAAATGGCATTCTGGTCCCTTGGTTGTCAAGAAAACTGTCAATGTTGTGGATATCAATGTATGTTACAATACTACACACACAATAATAAATACATCTAGAATCACCCAGGTGTGCGTGTATGTATATATGTATATGTATATAATATGTATTATATATATATGTGTATGAATGTATAATCATGTATAATCATATGTATACATACCATATACAACTATATTCAGTTGTCAATTCATTGATATGTTTTTTTTGCGCCATGGAAATTCCACGATGAAATGGTGGCCCAGCCAGTGAGCTCTGCTGTTGAGGTGATGACCACCTAGCTGCAGTCCGTGGATTCTTGCGAGCTTAAAAAAGGAGTGTCACAGGGGCCTCACTTGCGCAGCAATCAAAATGGGTTGTGATTTTTGGGAATCCTATGTGGCATCCTATTATTACGTATGAGATATTATGAGAAAACCTAGATTTTGTGGCATCCTATGGTATCCTATTTTCAGACAAACCCAGCTGGAAAGCGGACTCTTGGTCTTGCTGACCTGGTTTTGTCAATGTAGAAGCGACAAAACCAAGTGGATTGGCATGCCAACCTCTAGACTTTAGCCATCGTGTTTGCTCCCGAAGCGCGGCACTGCATGACAGGCATCAAGTCATGAAATACCTCAATTCGACGCCTCTGCAGGGATTCCAAGGGACTTCAATGTGTCATTCCACTGCTTGGTGCGATTGGTTGCCGGACAAGATCAGGATGACCCATGGTTCAGCCCACGTGCCTTCAGCATCAGTTTCAGCATCAGTTTCCGGTGAGGCAAGCGCCAGAGCACTTCAAAGGACGAGAACTGTTGCATCCAGGTGTTTGGTGCATCGGGATATCGGGATGGCAGGTGGTCGAACACGCGTTGCACGCGTTGGGATGGCAGGTGATGACCCTTTGAAGTCGCTCATTCGACAAGCCAATGTTTGGATCTCAGCTGGATGGGCATCATATTTGTATCCCAGAAATGATCAGAAATGGAAATGTTCATGTATATACTATTATAATCTATAATACACCATGTAATGTATATATATATATACATATATACTGTGAGCACGCACTTATATATTCATCATACATGTGAGTCATATTTTTTCGGTTTGCACACATTTCGCGTTGCCAGAAATCGTCACTAAGCGGCAACAAGTCATTTTGCCGCACCAGGAAGAGGAGGCCTTCCGCAAGGCAACGGAGTTCGTTTTGCTGCATTCACCGCAGCAAGGGAACCTCAAAGAAGAGGCACCGCTTGCGGGCACGGTTCACGGCACACACTGGGGCAGCGTTTCTTCTGGTGGCTGGTGTGTGTGTGTGTGTTATAATAGGTCAGCCCCAAACTTCTCATCTTGGTTTCTGAGCCGGTGATTTCGGGGATTGGAACCATGGGTGATTTTCACCTGCGTGTGCTTGTGAGTGTCCCCGCTTCTTGGCCCAGTCAAGAATTGAGCGGACCCCATAGATGTGGATCATAGCTAAATGCTGTTGGGCATCCTTGTTTATCGTCCTCAAATACTGTGACTTTTGAAAAAGGATCCAAAAAAGGAAGTCTGAAGTCCTTTTCTCCGGTGTTCTCTTCTTCATTGATACTAATTATTTTGTTGATTTGATTCAATAGTTTGAGTTGAGATCTGAATTGTTTTGGATCATCCAACATCGGCTGTAGCCTCTCTTGATTCACCGCTACCCCATCTTGAGTTCACGAATGCTTATCGACTGCATGTAGACAATCAAAGATTGCAAATTTGATTTTTGCATGTTTTCCTCAGTACCAACAAATCTCACAAAGACTAAGACTAGTCCATAGCTTGTGGTGCCCATTGGCCACGGAGAATTGGCCATGGCGCCAGGTTAAGAGACGAGACGCCATCCAGGAGTTCCTCCGGGGAGGGGACTTATCCAGATTTTGGGATAACCTCAAATAGCAATGCATCATGTGGAGGTTTGGAATAATACTTGAGCCCGACTTTCGCCATGGGTGACGCATTGTATCGTTGCAATGCAGCATCATTTTCCAGGCATTTCATGGCTTTCCTCTACTGTAAGCTTTCAGCAAACAAGCCTTGTCCAGACCTCACAGGGCCATCGCCAAAGGCACTTTTAGCATCTTTGAGCCCTTGATTGTCACAACATGTCACAACAGGATGCTGTCTCGCGACGTGAAAACACCAGACCCATGCTACCAGTACCTTTGATCGGACCTCAGCGCTGCACAAAGACGACGGACTGGCTGCTGTGTTTAATAACAATACTTTCTGAAAAAGAAAAACATGCAACAGGCAAGTATCCGTCGATTCAAAAATTGACAGAGAACTATATAATTAATATGGATTAATGAACCTCATGGATTTCATGGGCAGACTGCGGCAGGCCATACCAAAGATCCAGAATCAAGACAGATCAAGCATGGTTTATTTCAGATGGTCCAACAATGTCACCAGAGTGTGATTTTGTTGTGCAAGGTGGGAGCAACGGCAGCATTATGCATCCAATCTAGGACGCTTTTGTCAGAGCTGTGAACGCGGAGGTGGAAACGGCTGCTTTGCTTTCTCCATGGCTGATGCTTTAATATGCTTTAATATGCTTTAATATGCTTTAATAACATATAGAATTCCAGATAGATGTTCATGGCTAGGCTGTAGCGAAACACTCCCAATGGCACCTTGAAAGTTTCGCCGTCTGCAGGCTCCCACAGAAGTGCTAAGCGAATGGGTGAAGGTGTCCACTTCGTGGAGGAGTGTGGTTGCTCAGATCGCTACTGATGTAGTCAGTGGTTCATGCTACTAAGTACTACAGTACTACTTAGTAAGTTATAAACCCAGTTGTATGTGGGCTTGCCCGACTTTCCTCCATTTTGACCAGGTTTGTAGTATTTTAATGTATTTTTTATAATTTAGTTGCTAAGTAATTAAGATGAAACTAAGATGAAGCACCAAGTAGACACTGATGAGTTGGGTAGACTTCCATGCCAACTCCGCCCAGCTGCAGTGGGAAAGAGCTATTTGGAGTTGCTGAGGTCAGATGGCATTCTAGCAGCTGGAAAGACCAAAACAAAGCATGAGAAGAACAGGTTGCGGAGCTTTGGATCCTATGGGATTGTTGGTGTCAGAGAGAAAATAATCAGAGAATCAGCTGGTCAACCTTAGAATCTACATTTGATTAGAGGGCTGTCAGTTGCACTGTAGAGTCGTAGCGTGTCAAATTGGGATGTGCTATTTTTTTCTTCCCCACAGTGCCACAACGTGGATGGTTCAGCGCCCAAAATGGCAATTTGTTTGAGTCCCAACGTGTCAACAAATCGGAGACCCCCAACATCTACTGGACACACCTATGCGCATCCGAATCCTTTCTATGTGAGGGGATGACTGGACTTATGCATTCTTCAAGACTGCAAGAGGGTGGGTTGCACCTGCTTTTTGATGGATCTCTATGGGTAATACAGTAGAGGATTTGGGATTTCATTCTTGCAGATGTACTGGGTTTTGACTAACAGACATGTAGACATGATGTGGAGTACATAGATTATATATCCGATATCCCGTGTTTATTTTTTGTATTGCATTTTCACCGGCAATTGTCACTTTAAGACTTTGACCTTCCATCCATATACTTCAACACGAGTACTGACAATTCCCAGCACCATCACATAACACGTTCAAATCTTGGAACAATTGCTAGCTGGCCATGATGTGATGCCCAGTTTGTTCTGGTATGGGGTAACCTTAAAGCACTGAATTAAGAGATATTAAGAGGGTAGCAATAGATAGCTGAATTGATATTGAAGTGGTTTATTCTCACCTCACATCAGGCTGGGTATACTTGAAGGGACTGTCGCAAAGGAAGGCGAGTCTTGAACTCAGACTGTACCAGGCCAGGGAGATTCAGCATCGCTAGTGTCTTCCAGAAGAAAATTAGCAACCCCAAAACGATAGAATCGTATGCTTATCACTTTTATATGTTTTTTTTGCAGGATTTTGTTTTCCCATTTTTGATATTTTTGGGAGGCGATATATGGCTGCGAGTCAAATTGTACAGCCCGATCCATACCCTTGATCCAAACCAAAACGCAGGTGATCCAGACTGATCCATGCGTCTGGATCAGCGCGGGCCGATCCATACGCTGAATTTTGACTCAACCCCATATTATTTATGTATACGTATAGATATATATATAATATATATAATATATATAATATATATAATATAATATATATAATATATATATAATATATAAATATAATATATATATATATTATAAATATATACTTGCATATGCTTTTAACCTATACATGGCATTTCCAAGCTCCTGGACTCCACGTAGCGGCATGCCTTTCATCAAAGGTCAAAGAACTACAAGCGCCCAGATGGACACTCCTCTGGAGCACCATGTCAGGCGGGGTAGCCAGCTTCCTCCCATTTACATACTACGTATATGAGTGAAAATTAATCAGGGTACCACTTCACCCACATAATGGCTTAGTTTTAGCATCAAACATCATCAAACCATCCATTTTGGGGGTGATAATTCTGGCTTTATACAATATACACATGTATACTATGATATACTATGTATGACTGGTTGTTGGTTTCAAACATTTTTTTGTTTGTTCCCATCCTAGCTGGAATGAAGATCACCTTTTTTGGTTTCAAGGATGGGTCGTTCAAAGAATCCAAGGAATTCGATGCATTCGATGCCGGCAGGATCATTATTTCTATGAGCGTGGCAACGAAGCTGTTCAACGAGAGATGCCGTTGGGAAAACGTTTGTATCCCATCCTGAAGAAACGAGGACTGCAGCCTGGGTCAAAAATCGTTTGTGAAGTGATTCTTTGATAACAGGAAGTCAGATTGGACAATGTGGAAGCCAACATGTTCCAACCACTGCATGTTTTTTTCAGCAAAACAACTGCAAAACAACATGAACATCATGAAACAAACACTGCAGCCATCTTCATCATTTCATCATTTCAGCCCTTGTAGGAGCACCACTGCGGTCCCAGGTTCAGGTCGAGCCCATTTGAGGCCACCTTTTTTTTTAGCCAAGCCCTCGAAGAGGGAGATTGGCATAGCTTGGTCTGGGCGCTTTCGGTTGTTGGTGTTGTCGCATTGTGCCCATTTTTTCTCAGCATATGTTTTGTGGGCCCAAAGCTAGATGAAGATACCATGCAGCCATGATATGTCATAATTACCCTCTGATAAACTAACAGTTTGCTATTGAAAATTGCCATTTAGTTCGTGGATTTACCCATTAAACATGGTGGATCTTTCCATTGTTTTTTGTATGTTTACTAGATTACTTGCAAGCCATGTATCCTATTTTTGTGGGACTCCACTAACATGCCCCTTGTATCCTTGTGAAATTCAAGGCTTTGTGCTGATAATCTGATGATAACGAACTGCGGCCGTGCCACTACGGAATGTTCCACTACGATGCAGGATTCTCTGAGTAGGTTTTGATCGAAGCAGATTAGTTGGATCTTTTGTTGATCAAATACCATCATGATTTTGCATGATTTTCTGGGATTTTGCCACATTCTTTGCCGCCTTACTCTTGAAGAAACATCCAGAACTCGCAGTGCTGCTTTGATGCTCCATGGTGTTTGGACCTACTCCAGGTTTCCAGCATGTATGGATGAAGAGCGTCCATGGCACACCAAAGTTCCAAGCATTTGAGCCTGGATTTGTGCATCGTGAATGATCAGTTGCATGAATTTATAATATTAAAGTCTAATTAAAGTAGATTAAACAATCAATATGAATGAGCTAGTGGGCAGAACACAGTGAATTGATAGTGAATGGCGATGTCAAAATGACCCTAGATTTAAGAAGGTCAAGGCCTGTGCCGACAGAAGAAAAAGTAAAAGAAGTGTTCAGTAAGGATATTTCATGATATTTCAACATTACAGTTTTCTTACAGTTTTTAAGGGTTTGGGTTTAACAGAGTTCAGTTCTAGCTGATTTTCTTTTGTGGTTGAACCAGGATGCACAGCTATTGTCAAACACATACTGAAAAGACATCCCGTCCACAGCACACTTCATTCGGAGCATTCCTGCAGCCCGGAATTCCCATGTCGAATAAGTTCAGTACAATCCAGTGCTGACCATGACCGGTTTAGGTGTGCCTCAGAGGGACAACCATGATTGGTGATAGCCGCTGCAGTAGAAAACCGTGAGGTCCTTCTGTGATCTTTTGTGCAGATGAGGTCTGGATGAAGTTATCACAACAAGCTCAACCAACACCAATGAATGCGGCGTGATATATTGGGGAAGCCATCCGGCATGACCCTGAATCAGCTTTGGGATTTACGGGTTTACTGATTTACTGTACATTGTCAAGACGAAGATGAGATGAGTAGCACCATACGCCGTGGCCGGAGACGCTTGGGCGGGCTTGGGCAACCTAAATGTTTGGTGGATGAAGCGACCCGATTTAGCAATCCATTGACTGATGGACCAAGCCAGCACAACAGCCTCGGAACCCAGTCCCCAGGCAAAGCCGAAGAGTCAAACCTGACTGCCCTCAGTGAAACAGGAACCTGACATTTTCGACATTTTCGCGACCAGTATCAGTAGTGTGGACCAGTTGCTTGTTGACAGGTTGCCGAGGATGCAGTAGCTTTTTCACTAGATGGAAACATAGCGACAGCAAACCTTGAGCACGGCAAAACTTCAGCAAGAGCTGCTTAAGCTTTATCCCATCCATACAGAATCTCCTCTTCCGTAGCTTCCGAAGCTCTGTGGAAGCATCGTGCAGCCCTTGGACGCGGCGCAGTTGCTGTCATGATGTGGGAATGGCTGAAGATCATTGTAACCCAGGTGGAGGAAGATCATTTAGTGACTTTAGTGGCCAATTTTAAGGGTGCAGTACTCCATGTTGACGTTGAATTGCATGGTTTTCAGAATGGTTTTCAGAATGGTTTTCACCTGTTTTTACAGGGTAAGGAAGATGTTGACTGGACCGTCCGTTTGGTAACTCGAGGATATGCTTTCCCTGCTGGCCAGCGCTAGCACGGAACAAGTCGAGGCCAGGGTCTGGGACTCTGCAGGGACACTACGGTGATCTTGTTTTGAATTTAATTTAGATTTTAGGCCCAATTTTGGAGAACCTCAGATTCTTGCAGATGCCCAGAGGATGTGAAGACCTAAAGCCAATGACAGGCAGCTCAAGACGTGACAGTCGTGGCTACGACACTCCTGCTGTTGGCAGGCCTGGCAGAGAGAGCAAATTCAATACCAATGGACCCACATAGACAAAGCCTCGTCATTTTTTTGTATTTATATTAATCGTCCAAACATGCGCAAAATGGGGCTCAATGCCATGTTAGGATGTGAAGCATTGCACTTTCATTTTTTCAAATGGATTGCCATTGCCGGATCATTATTCATTATTCCAGAACTTAAACAAATTGTGTTCATCTTCATAATACTGTTAATCTCTTTTGATATCTTTTCATCTTCTATCATTTCAATGAGAATTTCAGGATCCCAAAATGGAGGTACTGTACCATATAAAGCCATATTTTGGGTGTATATCCCCTTATATAATTACATAGCCCTAAACAATAGGCCTTATATATGGTAGGTACCTCCAATTTTGGTACCTGAAGTGGCCATTGATTTCCAAGCCACTGCCCACCACAGTGAAGGTGGTGCGAGTTTGCTGAAGCAGTCCGGCTGCCGCCGTCGAAAGGTGGGGCCCTGGGGTATGCAATGGTAAACAACTAATGATTATGATAGGATAGGATCGGATATGATCGGATATTATAGGATAATGATATAATGAACGATTATTAGGAATGAATATTCGAAGTTAATCCAAATTACAATAAACACATATAAACACTCTCCAACATATCTTTAAAGAATGTAGTGCTGCATAGTGCTGCCAGGACAGCAAGGTGGATGAAGCCCCACAGATCAATTGGCGGAAGACAGTGGCCGGGCCAGAAAAATCGCGGCTGGGGAAGCGGAGATCAATGGGGATGCTGAAAATTATTGCCATCCCATCATGCCAATGATTCAATGATATCCAATGATCATGATTGCTCCCAATTTCTTCATGACTATTCCAGCTATCAGAAGTATCCCAAGTATCATAGGTGTTCCAAGAAAATCTCAAAAAAAGTCCACTTATCATGAGTCCCAATGATCAGAAGCACCCCCACTATATAGTTATCCCAGTTATCATTCCAATATTCACTTCAATAGTATTAATGGTAATCATATCCCTTAGTTATTTAATGGGTTCACAGTTATGAATGTAATCCCATCCCTTTGATACCAAATACCCATTGAAAGTATTATGAAGTATTGGATCATGTTGGATCTATATATTCATTTTGGTGGCCCGCGTGTATTATCTCCATATGTATTTACACATTACCACATATATATATACCACATATATATTTATATATGTGTGTGTATCATGAATATATGCACTTGGTTATACATATATATATATATACATTATCCAGATTATAGACTTGCTTGTATATATATATACATATTGTATATAAATATTATGTTATATCATATCTATATATATACATATATTTATATAGGTAAGATTTATTAGGAGGCTGGGTTTATCCTATCGGCCCGTGTCGGAACCACCAAGGCCAACTTTGAGCGCCGATATTCTCAGACGGATGTGGTTGACGATGCTCAAACGTTACAGCACCCAGCATCTCACAAGGCCCCAGGTGTTCCAATGGCGTCGTAGTTTAATGCAGCTGTAATTCATCTATATATATGGTTAGTATTTATTATTAATAATATAATATACCATGAATTATTACTAACAATGGGATATATTCATTTATACTTTGATTTGTTTTTGTGTATCCCAAATGCAGCCTGAAAATGATTTTGCCGAAACAAGGTGCTGGAATTTCGACTATGGCAGGTACAAGTACACGGGCCTAAGGCAAGATGTGCAGCTTAGAGATCCTGAAGTGAATCTGTAGGAACATGATGGATATGTGGGTTTGTCATGGTTTGTTCCAAAATGGGTAATTGCTTTACCCTTGGTGTATCGTCATTTAATGATGGGGAACACGATGGGGAACCACGAGCTGGTACATTAAACTCATTAAACCTTCGTCTCACCAGATGAGCTTTTTACTGTAAAGTTCCCGTGGGCCAATGTTCATGTTCCCCTTTTACTACAGGGCTCAATAGCACAATCATCCAGGGAACGATAGCAGCCAATCAGCCAGGCCTGAGCCCTTGGAAGAGGCAGAGCCACCACACCCCTTGACCTTGGAGGTGGCCGTGGGTATAATCATCCTGTAGCAAATAGGATGATATAGGATGTCCTGCAAATGGAAATAGTTTGATGATGTGTGATAGTTTTCCTATCGGGGATAGTCACTATAGATTTGACCAAAAAATACTCCAGGATTCCAGGATAGGTGTGCAACATCCCAAACACAGTCTGGAGTTGGCTACCTTTGAAGCAGCTTGGTCAGAATCCCTCTTGAACACCACTTTAACTACAGCTTTTACCCTCTGGTAATTTAACATAGCTATGGAAAATCACCATTTTCAATGGGAAAATCCACTATAAATGGCCATTTTCAATAGCTATGTTAAAGTACCAGAGGGTATGCAAATTTTTTGAGAGATGTCAGACTCTTTGAATGTGGTTTTCTCATTCTCGTCTTAAGACCCGGTCATTGGCCAATTGGATCAGGAGATCAGGACTTGGAAACCCAAAAATTGGCGATCAGTTCCTGGTTCCCCACACCAAGCTATAGATTTCAAAAAACATCATCCCATTCGAAATTTTACTGCAAATTCAAGATTCTGGCATCCATAGACATCATTGTTTGTTGTTTTTTGTTTAGTATGCCATCCCATGGTTGATTTTTTAGCCGTTTTTGCTCGGTGAAATCCCATTTTACTTTTTATCATATATACATAAATACATACTTATGATATGACAATATCATCATGTATAAATTATTTATATATGTATAATCTATGTAATAATCTATGTATAATCTATGTACATAGGGTTAGTCAAACCCCCTATTGTTTTCCATTGCCGTTGGTCAAATCCCCCTTCTGATTTTCTTGTTCCCCGTTGGATCCATGTCACGGAAAAACGGTCCAGGACGCGGATCAGCTTCAACTTCCCGAGTTGCGCGAGGGTGAGGCAGTGGCTGCGATCTGTACCCGACAGTTGGTTGATGATGGTTGATAATTATATGATTATGGGTCATTAATATTTTGATGATTATGATAATTATATTAATCAACATACAATATTATATGGTTAATTATATATCAACCAACCAGGGTAGTATGATGTAGCATATATGATCCCATATGTTCATATATATATATACATACAAATATATCTATTCCCCAGAATGTTGGATTGGATTGATATTATTGATATGAGTTCGAGGAGTATATGTGATCATTTAGCTCCGCCAGACTCGTCTAGTCACTGGTGAGCCCCGAGGCTCTATATGTCAGATAGTCAGTTGACGTGGATCACACGAAATTGATGGTCTTTGGCGGGTTAAGATGAAGTTATTTTGTGGGTTGGTCCAAAATCGTACTTTTGGGGGGTACATAGTAAAATCATAGTAAAAAAACTGCGTTCAAGAAACACATGTTTTTGCTGATTTTACTGTAGATGGCTTCGTTGGGTTAGCCCAAAATGGTGTAGGCCCCCGAATGGTAATTTAAATCTGGACCATGATGGTCGCCCATTGGATTTCTTAGGGGTATCGCAATTTTCGACATGCCCGTTTGATCATCTACCGTAATGATTGATGATTGATGATGCTATGCTATGTAGTTTAAGATGATTCATGATGATCATGGTGACCTATCATGGCTTTGAAATGTTTGACAGTTGCATATGGATTTCGTTACGTGACCAGTGACGATTCAATGACGATTTCATTTGGCCTCCGCCTTCATGGTTGATCTCAGTTTTGCTGTGTTGATGTTCTGCGCCTCTATGTTCCAGTTCGTATATGAGTGATCCCCGCTTCCAATGCTCTACATGCGCTACATGCAACTAGAATCCTCTGGAAATCCTCTGGATATGTCTTGAGATTCTCACATTCCAGACATAATCTGAACATTTTGATGATTTTCAGTTGATATTCCCCGGTGGCTAATCATGGAGATGTCATGGATACAGGTGACGCCACCTGACTGCTTCCAGCAGGACGTGAAGCTTCAAGAGTTGGAGGATTTGGTGGAAGACTTACGCCTTCAACAGCGGCATCGGGTGCGGAGGGTGGATGAGGGTGGTTTTTCCTCAGACAGTTGGGGTCATTGGTATACCGTACCTTACCATAGTAATAACATGTAATAACCTATGGGATGCAAAAAAACACCCCCATGATGGCCATTAATCATGCCATATGCATGTACCCACTTAAGTGCAACTGCACCCCCAAGATCCCCAAGTAGGTGGCTGTCCGAGGGAATTTCATCAGGTTTTCTGAATCTCAGGGCTGTTGTATGCGTGCCTTCTTTTGGGCTCATGATTTGTTTGCGAGTTTGTATGGGCAGCAAAAGAGTTTGGTACTGTAAACGCTGGAAATCACATGCGCTTGTAATATGTTTCGGTTTATTGAGCCATTACAAAGCGTGAATACGATACTATAATTTGATACTCAATTATATTATCATATATTATTATCATATAGTATCATATATATTATCATATATTATCATATATTATCATATATTACTATATATTATTATATATTATCAACATCACTTAAGCATACTTAAGCTTACACAATAATATGATTGGATATTCTACAACTAAAAGGCGATCAACTCTTCCCCATTGTTATTTGGAACGTCCTTCGGGATGCCAGGTTGACCGATGTACCCTCTTACGCTTCTTACGTGCTGAGAAGGGCAAGCCAGGATCCCCTGCTGAAATGTGGCACCATTCGAGCCATGGAGTACCATCCATATTGGACATTTCCACAAGGCAATTCGATTAGGACATTTCATAGGTCTCAACTTACTACAACATGTATATCTAAATGCTATATATGATCGTCGATCTAAAGCTCCATGTTTAGAGATAGTCCATTACAAGGCTGCCAGGGTTCCAATATGAGAGCCCGCGACAGATAATCGTGGGGTTCGCGAAAGATTCACGAAAGTAATTGTTTTATTCGCGAAGAATGGTCGTTTGCAGATAAAGGAATTTAGATCAACTGCCATTATATATAAAATTATGTGTGTACATATGTATATATATATATGACGTAATATACACAATATGTGTATAATTAATTAATGATATATATATATATACAGTATAACAGTATATATAATAATAGTATGCCAAAAATCCTCCAGTCCAAAGATCAGCCGTCCCCGAAAGCTCCCCAAAGAACCAGCCCCAGACTCCGCAGCGCTGAGGGTCGTCAAGGCCAACAAGAAAATGCGCGAGGCGATCGCATGGATCGAGGACGAGGGGGTGGCCCCTTTCGGCCGGCCTGGGCCCTATAGATGGTTAGGGGTAACCGGGTAACCATCCCCGGCACTATGGCCCAACTGTCCTGGAAGTATATGGAAATATATGGAAAATCACCATTTTTCATGGGAAAATTTACTATTTCTATGGTGATTTTCCATAGCAAACTGTTAAATTACCAGAGGGTAGATGACATATGATGACATGAAAAATCATGTTGCCAGATGATTGAGAACGACTGTAATTTCTGCCTGGTTGTGATTACTGATTACCATCATATGGGGAAATGATTTAGGGAAAGTACCATCAAACATGGGGATGTATCCACCATCAACTTTGGGGCTATCCTATTTTCACACAAACCCACATCTAGCAGTGTAAAATCATGAGGTCCAGATGCAAACAAAGTAATGTGCTAAACGGTAAACCATGGTAAACCTAATAATAAACAATCCATTTGGGTGGTCATTTTAAAACATTCCAATTTGGAAGGTGTACCAAGATATCGCCAACTTGTTTCGCCCCAAGTGGGGATGGTCTCTTATTGTGACTTATTGATCCTATGAGTTTCGCGGTTTTTTACATGTTCCCAATGTCAGTCATCCTGTGAAATGGGAAACCCTCTGGTTATGACTAACAGTTTGCTATGGAAAATGGCCATTTGGTTCGTGGATTTTCCCATGAAAAATGGTGATTTTCCATAGCAAACTGTTAAATTACCAGAGGGTACTCGAAAAGGCCGGCTATTCCTCGGCGTATCAGCAGTTGATTTTGACTATGCTGCATGCATTTGATGAATGCAGTGGCTGACATGCAGCGCATGTGTCAAACACTAAATCAACACCAAACACTGTCACAGAGGGTACGGAAAGTTGACAGATGAGTTTGTGTGAAAATAAGGTATCCCCAAGTTTGATGGTTGATCATCAATCATGTTCCTATAAAAACAGCTATATTCTATCGTTTTCAAAGGTCTACCACATTTTCAGACAAACCCTGGCGGCACCCAGTGAAACAATTCTTATTTTGGGACCGGGGAGATCGCCCAATATCTGCCGCTGCCGCTCACTGCAGGAGAATGATGTGCTCAACGCCATTGACACCTGGAATTTGGAGGTGATGGGGCTGGGTTGAACCGTTGAACCTCAAAGCTTAAAACGTTGGAGTTTGGGTGATTTCGAGATTTGTAGATTTGAAGATGATAGTTGATGAGTGACGAATATTCAAAATCAAGGAATCCCCAAATGGATCAAAACATATCAAATCGCAAACATGTCCATGGGCCTTCAGTCTCACCAGAAGAAGGGGGGGCCTCAACACATGGGAATTTTCCGACGGAATAGGTCATGATTGATAATACTCGTAGTGCATCCCCAGTATATGTGCATGATTGCTGGTTCACTCTCAGTCTGAACCATCCGTATGGCGAGGCCTATGAGAAGCAAGGCCCTCAGGGTGTACACGCAGGGAATGAAAAACGATGCCTCGATTGAAACAAATTGGTCACTTCTTGGGCATGCACGCCTTGCTTGTGAATATGGGTGGGTATAGCTCCAATTATAGCCATTTAATAAAGAAAAATGATGATGAACCATGATGAACCATGATGAACCATTGGGTTTAGGGCTACACTTTTTTGAGATAAACCCATATGATTGTAAGATATTGTAAGATGTTGTGCATAATTCAACTCTGCTCAATCCAAAAAGCTGTGCATCAGCTCTGAATCGGATGAATCCATTCGCTGAAAACGGCACCGGTTCAGTGGTGAGGTTAAAACGTGTTGAACTCGCCATCGAATGGATATGTTTGGTTGGTATCCCCATGGCTGAAACCCCAAACAATCCCAAACAGCTGAATTTGGTTTGGTGGTTTCCCAAATTTTCCCAAAACCACTATTCCAAGCTGGAGAACTGATACGGAGAACTGAGGTGCTTGGCGCCCTGGTGGCTCTCTGGCGGATTTCTGGGACATGGCCTGTGTGAAACTTAGCTCGTTGTGGTACGATGTGGTTCGAAATCTAAGGCCCCGAACCCACAGATTTATACTACACAGTGTATGATAGTCTAGAATATCTTCGATTTCGCACCTTGATTGAACTGTGTTGTTTTTAGACCCTCAAAATACAACACTTACATGGCCCGTTGGGACCACAGATTGATATGTTAGTATTAACCATCTGATGATTGGGGGTGCCCAATTTGGACCCAAAGGCACATCATACCATTCGCGTTTTTTCGGAATTACGCTGCCGCCAAAACGTTGCTGTGACATGCTGTGACTAAAGGCCTCCACTGCATGTGCCATCAATCCATTAGTAGGGATGTACACCCACTTTAAAGGTTCTCATTATGGGATGGATGACCATTCCCCAATACCACGTTTTGACGAGACTGTAGCACGTGTAATATGATACAAAATGGTGTATATATGTGTATATATATATACATACAGTACATAGTAGATATGTATAGATTGCATACTATTTATATAGCATATGACAGATCATTTAATGATCATTTATGTTTTGATATCGGGTGATTCCAACACCTCCTTCACACCTGATTTTCTGAAACTTCATCGCATGACGACACTGCAAGAAACCCCTTGGAGGGAATCCACCATGAGTCCAGTTCATATTCTAGTCGTGCATCTTCATACGTTCAAAAGGTCAACCACCAAGATATCCTGCCAGCCTTGCCTAAGGCACGGTGAGCCTGTTGCTTTGGAACGGCTAGGCGTGGTCTCATCTGACCGATTCGTGCGTGCATACTGTGTGGCTACATTGATGCAAGGTGGTGCCCCATAGGTTAGCTAGGTTGGTTTATACCTCCAATGACTTGTGTTTATGGTAGATATATATATGTTATATATAATATTATATATATACATATGTTATATATATATTTATATAATATTATATATGTTATATATATAATAATAATTAATAATAATAATTAATAATAATAATAATATCATATATACATACTTCACAGGGGTTACAAACCCTAACACGTATAACGTTGGGGGGCACCACCTACAAAAAACAACGAGATCAGGCCGATGCTCATGGCCGAAGCTTTCGAATCGCTTGGACTTCGAGGCCTTGGATCCGTTGGTCCATCCTTGCCAAATCCTGGCGCTGTCGAAAAGCCGCGGCTGGAGGTTTTGAAGAAGCTGGATATCATACATTGCCGTAGATGTTTGGCAGCTCTAGAGGAGGACAGCTGCAAACGGGTCATGTATGTCCATAAAAATGATCATTTGTCTGTTAGATTTGGGGGCTACCCAAATAAAAAATGATTGTCATGACATGTTCAACCCATTGAAATTGCCAATGGGGTATCCCATTCCTGGAGAACCCCCAGGATTCCGTAAGACGTGGAGTACCCTTCAGTGGAGTCACACTGGTGTCCTGGCACTCTTCAGCGACTAAGCCACTCCAAGGTGACCGTAAGGGCTTTATTAAGGGCTTCTTAACCAACAACCACCAACAGCCACCAACAAGGGCCGGCCCTTGACCGCCCACCTTCGCCATGTTGCTCAGTGCTGAGGTGATTGACCTGAAAGGTTTTAAATGGTCCGACGCACAATTTAGTGCGGTCGGAGTCTCGTGACGTGACCGTGACGTGACAGAGAGGGAGTGGGCAGTGCTAACTGGGATCTATGTGCATAGCCTATCAAACTGGTGTCGGCTCCGGTTCATCTTTACTCAAGACAGAACATGTACTGTATGTAATTATATAATGTCATTTTAGAGCACTAGGTTATTGAAAAAGGGCATGGATCAAAGTTTGGTCCCCTCAAAAAAATGGATAGTCTGAAATATATAATATCTAAAAAAAGTCTAATACCAAGACAGATAAATTATTAGACACATGTTGATAGTGAAAAAGTGTTCAGACTCGGAGAGCTCCAATGTACCACTCCAATGTACCACCTTTGAGGCCTGGACACTCTCAAAGATGGTGGCTTGCAGGACCAGTGATCCAAGTGCTGGTCGAAGGTGTTGAGCAAGTGGAATATCGGCGAATGCATGGTGAAACAAAGTAATTATATAATATATATATATATTATATGTTTTTGGTTAAATTGCGATCTTTTTCGATTCATTTTACCAGGTTGCCATTTGCTTCCAGGACATACCCAGAAAACCCCATGACGCGCTTAACATGTGCACTATGCAGGAGCCACCTTTTGCCAGAGACTTGTCACCGAATACTCTTCGTCAGGCCGTGGCTGATGTGCCTGGATCGCTAGGAATTGAAACCAAACCTACATTTCTTCCCCTTAGAATTCAATATCAATCAGAGAAGCTCCAGTTGGGTTTGGAATGCACAGCCTGGCATTGCCTTCCGGTCCCCATGTCCCCATTTCATCCCATTTCCAGCTCCTGGCTTTGGTTCACAATTTGTCACATACCATGAGACATCCAAATTCTTTCGTGCAGGGTACCAACTCCTTTTGCAAAGGCCTGGTTTGGCCCTTGGATCCCTTGGATCTCGTTGGATCTCGTTGACTCAGTCGGTGGCGCTGGCGTCACCAGCACCTTGTGGCCTGCGCCAAGGTCCATGTTCAGCTACCTCTTGGATCCTGGAACTATCGCAAAGGCCGCACGGGAATGGCATGGAATGGCCGCCGGTAGCCGCTGGATGGTCTCGGCCTATCTTCCAACGTTGGAAAAAAAACTTCGTGACAAAAACGCCAGATTTTGTCAGTATGATACTTCATCAGAATCCAATCATTGTGGTTTCAGAATGTTGTTGTATTTCATAATGCTATACATCACCAATTGCATTAGTTCATCTTATTTATTCATGTTCATCAGGTTGTTTCTTTCATAGTGTATATCATCACAGTGTATCCAATTAATTTCTCCACTGTGTTTTGAATGTCTATAATTATAGCATCACTATGTTTGCAAATATTATTCTTCTCACTCACCATTGGATTATGTTTTTCTACAAACAATCGTAGACTTAAGGGAAACTCGGGAAGCCAAAATATGAAAATTCACTCGACGAATATTCCAATAGAACACGGATAATGTATCGGCAACACCGAGAATATCAGTCGTATCAATATCATGAACACATCATGGAAACTGGGAAACAACAATTTTGGGCACTATCATATAGAACTTCTATAGAACTATATGGAAACAACAACTGGAAGATCATGGATTTTACCCGCAGATTGGTTGGGTCGTGGCGCCATTTTTATTTTGGGACAGGTCCAAATGGCCACAGAGTCGGAGACCATCTCTTTACTGAGAAAGTTCATCGGTGCGCTGTCCGAAAAAAACAAAATCAGGGATGGATGGATGGATGGATGGATGGAGTTTAGTTGATTTTTTAGATGGTGTTTTTTTCGTATGTTTTCTCCATGATGTTCCATGATTTATATTTCCATTGGATACTATTCGATATGGAGTTGGTCATTGTATTCGTATGTTTCGATTTGAAGGTTGTGAATGATCCCAGGGATAGGTTGGACAGAATCAGATGTCGGGGCAATTTATGTTGAGGATCGTTGCGGATTCGGGTAGCAAATAATGCTTTGATCCAGACACATATCCCAAAATTGGCATATTTAGCGCATGCGATGACTGACCAGAGTCGTTGAGTTGTGCGTTGTTTTTCGCCACAAAGTTCCTTTAGACATGGGAGAGCACAGCTTTTTTGAGTTCCAGCTCTGCCATAGCACAGAGAGACTGGGCCATGGCGGCCATGGTGGTTGCCATATGTTGCCATTGGTCGTCAGGGGATGAAGTTATCCCGGCGTATCTTGGAGGTGCGGTCAACAGCTGGGGATGGAAGAGTCGAATCATGCTGCATGAGGTACAGGTATGATAGGATAAGAGATGTTTGATACATTTGATTGTAGTATATTGTAGTTTCATGCTATGTCCATGCCACAATTCAGTGAACAATTAATTGTACAATTGTGTTCTTTGAGGCAGATCCCGAAATCACATGCTATGGCTGTTCTGACATTCACTTTCTCAAAATTTTCAAAAGACAACTGATTTCATCAGGACCAGTTGTGGCTCGAGGGTTTCCACGTGTTTCCAACCATGAGCATGCCAACCAAAGATGAACATGCTGCACTCATCGGCCTCCCAGACCGGGGAAGGCGTGTGGTATCTTTGACCAAACACTCCGTGGTGGACAACTTGCTCTACGGCAAGGACTTAGATGATTCAGGAGATGACCCTCACAGAGATTTCATGCGAAACATGCTTGAGAACGGCTATGCTGGGGAGCCATCGGGACATCGCGATGCGAAACAGGCGAACAAGAAGCTGCGAGCCGTGTTGAACGTCACGTCACAGATGTCGCATCACATTGATGATATGAGTCCACATGAGGCATTCATGACCAAGTTTGCAGATCGAGCAGGTGCCAGAACGACTGAAAACAGATTTAAGCCCTTGAGGGCGCCTGGCCTGGCTCACACCCAATCCATGTCAGACATCATGGGTCGCCCTGATTTTGCTCGAACGCCTCGTGGTATCCGTGTCAAGGAGGTCAATGCTGCTGGAGGCAAGACAGATCCCGAACTGCAACGCACTCAGGGGAGGGCATGTGTTATATCCACCAAGTGGACTCGAAGTACTCTACGCCTTGGTGATACCGAACATCCCGGTGCTCTTCTTGATGAAGGTCCTGATGAACGCTTCGATGGTCATGCCGGCCAAGCTCGGAAACAGGTCAAGGCTGCAAAGGTGGGATGTAGTCTGAAAAGCGTTTCCGTGGTGGACAAACTTTTGTATGGCCGAGATTTGTCAGGAGCAGAGACAGACCCAGCTGTCGAATATGCTCAAAAATTTGCTGGCTATGCTGGGTCTGTGTGGAAGATACCAAAGAAACAGCCCCAAGAAGCACCAGGAGAGAGTCTGATTTCAGCCCGTCAAGTTCCCAAGACTCCCTCGGTTGCATCAGCTCGGACAGAGCCTTCAGTGGCCGATGGTGCACAGGGGGAGAGCTCAGTGCTCGGCAACTCAGTGAGCTTCCAAACGACAGGACAGCCAGAGAGCAATCAGACGAATCAGACGGAAACGATGCCCAAAGATGAGTTGAAAGCAGTTGCCCCAGATGCGACCTGTGAAGCCGATGGCACCCTGATGCCAGATGCCAAGACGGCCCTTCCCCAGGACCTGGCACAATCCCCGCCATCCTCAGCGCCTCAAACCCCTACGCACCAGACCCAAAGGTCTTTGAGGTCGCCCTTTGCCGTTGCACGGTCCAGCCCCCCCAGCTCCACCGGCTCGAGAACACCATCGGTTTCAGGGCGACCCCGCTGGCAGTGAGGCAAGATGTTTCAGTGAAATGTCTCAACCTATGGGTTTGTCTCAAAGTGGGGTATACCCAAAAGTAGCCAAAAAGTGCCATCGGGATGGAGAACATGATTGACATAGATTGAAATGCAACTGGATGCCATTGGATTTTGGGGTACTCCATGTTCAGACAAACCCATATGTTCATCATTCATCATCATATGATTCAACCTGGGCGACCATGTGACTGCTGCCTGTGTCAGTGAAACTATTTGCTGAAGGTGTGTAAGGGACATCTTCCATTGTTGAAACATGTTAAAACCTTATGCAGCTGCAGTCATCACGAATTATCCAATTGAAAGTTGTTGCCATCCATCAGATCCTTCGATGCAGGGCGGCCTTGTGTACCAAGTCTCACCATGCGAAGATCATATTTTTTCGCCAGAGACTATGTTTTCGTCAGTGATGTTTTCCCTGCGGGGTTGATGCTCAAGGGGGTCCACATGCAACATGTGAATGTTCCCCCGGACCAAAGGAGGACCCGAGGCAAAGCTTAGCCTAGGAGAAAAGGCTGTGTCGAAGCGGTGAATCGCAACGTTCATCCAAGTTTTACTTTGGACCTTGAGACGACTTTAATATAGTTTAATGATGTTTAATAGTTTATCGTAGCGTCTTTATAAGACTCAACATCAGTGTGTTCGCCAATCTGACAACTCCAATCAGGACGTTCAGTCGGATCCTAAGGAGTCAACCAGACCTGTTCAATCCTACAGGACAGCGACATACAGAGGGTGACCCATATTGCAGAAAATTGCTTGCGCCGGATGCCCAGACAAGAGCTGGTCAAATTTGCAGATTGAGAACGCATTATGGACATCAATGATTGGAACACAGAATAGATGGGATATGATGGAAGGAATTGGAAGCCAGAGAAATCTAATGAAACCTTGAATGCATGTTGGATCATTTTGGCATGTCGATTTTGAATTGAAATCTCTTGGGCATAGAGACGCTTGAGAGAGGCATGGCTGGGAGGAAAAACCGTGACTGACCAAGGCCTGGAGGCTTTCCCCCGGAGGAAGCGCTTCAAAGGTGGATCCATCCAGTCAAAACGGAGGAATTGGATGTGACTTCAGTTGACCATGGGCAATGGAAAACCATTCAAAACCACAACGAAGATCTGCCGATGATCTACCATTTGGATCGATTTGGAGGCAGAATTAGTCCTTTCTTGGCATCCCTGGTGACGAATCATAAACTCTCATGGAAACTACAGCAGACAGCTGTTGATCCTGATGAGACGTGGCTCAATAGCTGGTCTCTGACTTCTGACTTGCTCTGCCTAGCCAAGCATGATAGGGCAGTGACTTTACTTGATTTGGGTATGCCAACTTGTTTTTTTTGTTGGTTCCCAATGGTTCCAAAATGATGCCCAAACGAATCACAGGTTGGAAAGGCTCATCGCAGGAGATGATGTCTATCGGCTGGGGACCCAGCGGCATGTTTCGGTCATGGTGACTACTATCAGTGGGAACAAACATGAACGAAACATCGGTGTGATTTTTGTTCTCTTTCTTTTTGGGTTCGGAATGTGCAATAACTGCAAGGTATCATTACCTAAAATGAGCCAGCAAATGAGCAAATGCAACATGAGCATCGAAAAACATGTTTTTGGATGTGTTTGGTGAGTTTGTGTTGTTCTGTTTGGTTCGATGTTCTGTTTCTTACCTGTTACATAGCCACAACTTGGATATATCATGATATAATATGATATATGAATATATATGATATATCTATCATCATCAGATATTAATCATCAATAATCAAATCATGATACATCTATCATCATCATTCATCATCTATCATCACGTTTTCATTATTTTCCAATAATTTGACCTGTCTTCGGTTAACCGCAGCAAAGATCACGCTTCACTGTATGAGTTCCGACGCTCCTGAGGCCGCCACATCGCAGAGGTCCCACGGATTGGAGACATATGGAGACATAGAAAGAACGATTTGATGCAACTGATAATTATATAGATATAATTGGTGATTATAGTTGGTGGATTAGTGATTATAGTTGGTGGATAGTTGTGGTTTGACATGATTTGTTTATGTCTCTGAATAGTTATGATATGTTGTGATTAGAGTCAGTATCCAATGATTGGCTTTGCTAACATATACAAAAATATAGCAAACATAACATATGATATCAATGATATCAATGATATCATATCAATTGGCTATCAGCAGACGTCCAAGAAATGGTTAGCTCATTGGTGTTTGATGTTTGCAGGTGAAGCGTTTCAAGGCTCTGAAGGTGCTCGGTGTTGTTCCGTCCACAGATTGGGAGGAGAGGATTCATAGGATTCCAGGATGGGGCCAACACGGGAAGATCGGGGTTTAGTCAGTTTCATGACATGACAGGATAAATGAAAAATATGGAAACATATGGAAAAAAAATAAAAATGAACACATTGCAATTTAATTCTTACTGGTAACTAGGAAAAACGGGATTTCATGGGGATCAGGAAGGCTGAAGTTCCAACTATTGAATTTGGCGAAACTACAATTCAAACAATTGGGACTTATTTCCGCAACATGGGGATCTCTTTGGTGGGGATGGGTTGAAACTGCCAACCAGAGAAGCTGTTTCAGTTCCGGGGAAGCAAAGCTGTCGATATTTGTGATCGAAACTTACCCATGGTCAACCGCCGGCCAAGGCTCCATTTGTCCAATGCAATGACTTCAAGTCGCATTTCCGTAAGACAATGAGAAGTGACCGCCAGCAGGGCTACTGTTTGGGAACATTTTGTTGTGGACATGGCATGACATGGCTACTCCATTGCTACTCCTTTGATTCAACAAACTGTGATGATCTGGAGTTGATTATAGTTGATTCAAAGTTCACAGGGGGGAACAATCTGGCGATTTCGCTTGTCACACTGCTGCAACTGTGATGTTTGACACAGTTGCAGATTTGTAGGACTCCGTAGGTATGCACTTAGCTCGTTGCATCTTTTACACCAGCTGCCGTTGAATTTATGGCTGCCACCTGGAGGGGTACTGTTCCAGCTGCAGAAATAATATTGGGATGGCTGCAAACAGTAACATGTTGGCCTATTTATATCATTTTATATCTATTTATACTACAAACGTAGGCACATCTAGGAATCTAGGCACCAAATCCACTCTCGCAATGATGAAGCAGTTCAGTTATGTTCAGTTTATTTCATTTTCTTTTCACCTCTCCCGTGGTCACGACGTAAGTTCTCTTTGCAGCGTCACAACGCGCCATCGATCATTTCGCTGGATCTCAGCAGCCTGTGGCTGTACGAGTCCTCCAATGCAGTGAGATGTCGAGCCCGGCCATGGTTCAGTTGCTGAGGGGCTTGTACTCGTACGCCTTAAATTTCTAATTTTGGTATAGATTTGAACATGACGGCAATATATGGCTTGGGGTACCGGGTACCGTATTCTCAGACAAACACAAGTCATAGCTATTGGGACGGGCTGCGTTGTCAACTGGCATTTTCAAAGCACTTGGGGGGTTCGGGCTCTGAGACAAGCAAGCACCTGCCAGGCAGAATGTCAGTTGAGCATAGTTGAGCATGTTAGAGGTCTAGATCAAATTTCCAACAAATTCTACTGTAACATTTAAATACATTTAAGTCATGTTATTTCAATGGGCGCCTGCCTTCATCCGCCTTCCTGGTTGCGTCAGAAAATTATTTAGACCAAAACGTCAGTGCAAGATAGTCAAACACATTCTACTGTATTAGACATTCTACATTACCAATCATTACCATCATTACCTTCAAACAACTCCAAGCCTTTTCCAACAGACAGTCTCGATGAAATAAAGCGAAGTGTTCGTGGATTTCGATACCTGGTTGAACAGTGTTCGACATCAGTCACTTTCCGATACCGCTGGTATCTCGACTGCATGGCAGTCAGCTTAGCCCATTGGTCGAAAGCAGGATATACAACTGTCAGTCAGCGAGAATACATGAGAATACTGGATAGAAGTAGATCGTAACTCCAAAGTACTTTAAAAGGAGGAGGGTGTTGATGAGCTAGGTTTCACAGTGCCGACAAATCAAGGAAATTTATTGAAATGTTGTATTAGATTACTGGGTGCATTCTACCGGATTCTACAGGTTCTCTCAATTTGCGTGATAAACAGGACAGCTCAGTTTATATCAAGCTTTCGTTCGCAGGAAGTGGAGCACCGGTCTTTGTGACCACTCCACATGTGGGATTCACTTCGGTCACTCGGCCCCACCGAATTGGCGTAGGTCACGAGACCGTCAAAACCAAGGTCGACGCGCTGCACTTTGAAGAGCATGTGGAAGCAGCTTCCGAAAGACTCATGGGATAGTTCCCTTGTTTTTTTCCATGGACCACTAGAAAAGCTTAGCACACTTTCTGTACTTTAAGAATCGTTTCTGATGTGTTTGGCTCAAGCATTAGCTAATTTGGCGGAAAAGAAAACATAGCACGACATAGCCCACAAGACAAAGGTCGTCACGGCAAAGCAGGGATGGCCGGGATGGCTGTATCATCCAGTAGCATTTTTTTTGCCCAACTTTTCCGTGGAGGCAAAGATTGGAAGAGCATGGAAATTGTGGAAGATCTATGAAGATCTAACAATTGATTGAGCTGGAAGTACATGATAAAAGAAAGCACTTCCGCTTCTCGCGTAGAAGATGAGTAGAAGCTTCAGCCAGGAGTCACTCACCAGGCCGATTTGGGAAACATCAGACACTCTTTCCTACTGGTAGTAGGTGTGAGCGGAAGCGGGGGCATTCTGTGCACATGTTTGACTCAATCATACTCTCACAATCTCGTACGTAATCTGTTCCTCACAACATGTGATGTCCACACAGAATTGCGTGTGTATTCACTCTATTACACCACTACGCTGTCAAATTTGCCTTGGGTTTTCTGCAATCATAGTTCATAATCAATCATAATCATCCATAATCAGCAAGGTGGTAAACCCAATGACCAACAGCCTATTTACCCAATTTTACCATCTGCGGGGATCAAGAATTGCCAAAGACCTCAACCCACAAATCTCCACAAGGGGCAGCGCTGTTTCCTGTCAGGGAGGCGGATCTCTTCGGGGTTGATACCGACCCAACCTTAGTGCGGTGGAACTCCGGGAAAACGATCCAAAAAGCTTGGCGAACCACTTGCGAAACGTTGCTTCTCTCCAAAAGTCTCTTTCATGAGTTGCCAGGTGGCTCTGCAAGGCGTTCAACAAACACAAAGAGAGTGAAGTTGCTGAAGTTTCTCAATATATTCAGGTCTCAGCAGAATGAGAAAATGAAAGGCGAGCATGTTTGTATCATTGTGTACCGTTTGAAACCAGGAAAGCAGAACAACCAAGATTCCATAAGGTTCTTATCATTTCGCTTCTCAACGATGCCATGGTTTCCGTCCATCACAATGCAATGATCGTCACCGGCCTTTTGCTGGCCTCACTGGCCGCGAGCGAACCGCAAAGTGAGGCACCAAAAAAAATTGAATGCAGATAGTAACAGTGAATCACATCTCCTCAATAAAGCGCATAAAACATCATAAAACTATATTTAGTATTAATATTTAATTAATAATTATTGTATATATACTAAGCTGGAACCCTATAGCATTTACCACAAATATTTTCCCTATCACAATCAGCTCGTTGTTTGGTCTCCTCCAGCGGTGAGAACAAGAAGTGACCAGACGAAAACTTGGATGCGGGCTTCTTGTTCGACCAAACTTGGAAGCCTGACAATTATTGGGAAAACAACATAGTCTATTAGGAAAAATAATTAACTTATTGAACAATTACTGTTAATGTTGTTTGTTTTTTCCTGGAAAATCTGAAGGAAACCATAATATAAGCGATCCATTGCTCTATGAATCTATCGGATTCACCCTGATTCACCTCAGCATCCCCATGGCCGCCATGGCCAGGGGATTCCTTTTGGGAAGCCAACCAGAGAGAGATATTTTCAGTTCCAGCGACTTGGTGGAACTGCCGGAGTGAGATGCAGAAGGCGTAGATGTCCATAATGTCCATATGTCGATGTCAGATTTACACTAGTTCAGCATGGTTTAGTCAGTTTTTGCTTCAGACTTCGACTTGAATGATAAACCGGTATGTCTCAAATCTCGTTGAAAATCGTATTGAGCCAAAGAAGAGACACTATGGTGGGAACAAGTGCTTGACGAACATCCCTTACAATAAATATATCCTAGATTATCCTACAGTTGCAATTTCCTCTACAGAACCGGGGGTGTTGATACCCCTAAAACCTTCGATTTTGTAGTGCCAGCTTGCACCCCTACTTTGCTACAAAATCAAGGACCATAGGCTGGCAAACACCCAAAAATCATCCATTTTGGGCTGCACCCCTGTCCGGTCCTGATTCTGTAGTCCATGGGGGCCAAAGACTTTATGCTTTGGGAATGGGATTGATTTTGTAGAAAGAAGGCTGGCGACCTCCTAAGGTCTTTGATTCTGAAAAGGATAGTTCCCTGAAACCCCTGTTGCCCAACATGTATGGGTTTTTGATATTGTATAGGGAAGTCAGATCTCTCCTGGAAACATGCTACAAAATCAATGACCGGCCATTTGGGACATCTTGGACTGACTTGTGAAACTTGTAAACAAACTCATGCTACAAAATCAAAGACAGGCACTTGGGACTTTGGAGGGACTTGTAAAACCTGTAAACACATTCATGCTACAAAATCAAGGACCAACAAGAAATCTCTACAGAATCGACTCCAAAAATTTAAAAAGTATCTCTACAGGATCAACCTGGACGTTTAAGTGATGAATTTTGATGCATCTAAAAGTCTTGATTCTGATTTTGTAGCACGTATGAATCTGCCTTGTCAGATTTTTCTACTGTGGAAGGCTCTTGATTTTGTAGAATGTAAGACCCCACTCTGGAGAGCGGAGATTGATTTAGTAAAGAATTTTTAGGTACCTGACCTTGGGGGTCTCTACAGAATCGGGGGTCCCAGCACCCCCCCCATTTGCAAGGGGCATCAATAAATGTTATAATGTTCAGTTTTCTTTTTTTGGTTAAACTCTGTTTCTACCTTGAAGTTTTAAAGATACTGATCTTCATCATTCTTCCACCTCCTTCGAGCACTGCTGATACAGTTGTTGTTTTATGTTGTTTAATCTGTTGATAGGCCCGGTTTCCTGAACTTCAACCACGGGGGCTTCGGAGCTACGCCGCGCTTGGTGCGCCAAGCCCAAAGTGGCTTCGTGGATCAGCAGGAAGCACAGCCAACGGCGTGGTTCGCCTCAGGAGGTGATTTTTTGGGGCTGAAATCCAGTTATGGCCATCGAAGTACAGGGAAGATATGGCAAAAAACAAAAAAAATGGAAAATGATGCTTGTCCAATATGAACCAGTGATTTGGAGGTACCCTATTTTCAGACATTTTTGGGGAAGCCTGAAAGCTGGAAAACATGACTAAAGTCAATGGGAAAACATGGCTAAACATGCTAAGTCAATGGGTTTGACCAAAGTGACTGGCATCCAAAGGGTACTCATGGATATTCATGGCTGATACGGCCCTAAGATATCCGGATATCTATGGAGGATACCAGAAGATCCTTTCAGAAGTTCGCCCACGCTTGGCGGAAATGATGAATGCAAACTCCTCAGATGTTGCCCTTTGGCTGCAAGAAGATTGCAATCAGTTTCTATTCAGCTCTTTTCCCCATAATTTTCTGGGGACCACAGACGACGCTCCATATGGAACCGGAACGCCGCATGGCAGAAGCAGATCTGTGGACTTGTGGGTTGTAATATCATATATATATAATTTATATAATATATACTGTAAGTTGTTGATTCTTGCAATATTTGGCACTGGATTTGGGTACATGTTCTCATTTGAAGCAGTGCCGGGCTTCAATGATTGATGAAACTAGCTGCTGTGTTCGATGTATAGTTTCAGATCCCTTTAGGGAACGAACAATTCCTTCCAGAAGCAACTTGGCATGTTTTCTGTTGTCAGACTTGAATACAGTAGTGTTTGAAGCAGAGGTCTTTCTGGACGACGCATCTTCCGGACTCAATGCAGTATTGCGCAGCCTTCCATGGCAACCCCAAGATGTGATGCTACTAACAAGCGCAGCCTACGCCGTTCTTCCAAACACTGGCAAGTGGCTGCAAAAGCGCTATGGAATCCAAATTGTGCAAGCAGAAGTGTATCATGGATGCAAGATGATGCAAGCATGGATATGGATCGTGTGGATTCGTTTGGCTGAACATGTGCATTCTTCCTTCTCCGACTGTGCGTGAGTGATGCATTGAGAGTTGCTACCGCAAGTCTTTTCTTGCCATGCAATGTTGTTGCAAGATGAAATGTCGTGAAGCAGGATGCAATTTAAGTTGTGTGATATTCGCGCATCTTCAGCGAGAGCGGCCCGCTTCTTCTGAGGCATTTTCCCGCAAAAAGTGCAGAAGCCATTTTGGAGCCGGTTGAACGAGCTCTGTTGAAACTGCCACAACCCTGCAAGCTCCGGCTAGCAGTTTTTGATCATGATCTTTGGATGCACTCTTGGTTGATTTTGGATAACTTCCACTGTCGGACACTTTCGGTATGTCCCTTGAGCCCAACTGTTGGAATCATGAATGACGAGGATCTTATCACTCCCGGCGTGCTCATAGGTTCTAGATGGTTCTAGCCTCTAGCATAGTTTGACAGCTATCAGATGCTGTCAGGATGAGGCACTCCTAGAAAGATTTTGTCTCTACCCACTATTTTGATCTATTTTGTCTACTGTAAGTATCCATAAGTATCCCAGATGGGATCGTCGACTGCTTCAGAAACCAAAAAACGCGAGTCAGAAACCAAGATCTACGATTCAGCAACCAAAACGCGCGATTCAGAAACCAATGCTACGTCGATTCAGAAACCAAAGCTACGTCGATTCAGAAACCAAAACGGAGCGATTCAGACACCAACTGAGGCGCGATTCAGAAAGCAAAATGTACGATTCAGAAACTAAAACTTCCGAAACCAAAATGTTGCATTACAAGAGATCAACCCCGCCACCCCCTCTGAACAATACTTCCGTTTGATCATCACAAGAGATCAACCCCGCCACCCCCTCTGAACATTATGTATCATAATCATTATGTTGAACAACACACACCACTATGATCAGTTCTGAACATGACAAAAAAAAACGCCACGCTGCCACGGCAATGGAAAAAAGTGAGCGAAGCAGTGACCAGTCTTGGGCATGTTTTGGTTTTCTATCCAGACGTTTTGGTTTCCGAAGAAGCCTTGGTTTCCGAAGATCGTCGACCGCTTCAGAAACCCATGCCTATGCGATTCAGAAGCCAAGATCTACGATTCAGCAACCAAAATGTGCGATTCAGAAAAGATGGGATCGTCGACCGCTTCCACATACATATTTACATATATTTACATTATTTACATTTATTTTACTGTCTGTAATATATAAATGTTTTATAAATCCTTACACCAAAAAATCAACTGTATCATGCACACGTGTCAATCATTATGGCGTTTATGGCATATGTGTCATGCACATTACCCTAAAAACAATCCATAACTATAGACAAATCTACCAGATGGACTATCCATGGATGATGTTTTTTCATGTTTTGATTCACCCACCTCCCAGAGTCTGAGGTTTCATCTTACCCACCGGCCATTCTGCCCGTCGCCCGGCTCGCTCGCATAGTGAAGGCAGTCGCAGTGGAAGATCCAGGGTTTTTCTCCACCCGGTGAGGGTCTTTAGATTTTATATGATTTTATCACATTCCTCCGCCTCCTCGTCCTCCACCTCCGCCTCCACCTCCTCACACGCGAGCTCCAGATCGAAGTGGGCACAGCCGGACCTCAACCGCGAGCTCCAGATCTCAGTGGGCGCAGCCGGACCTCAACCGCGAGCTCCAGATCTAAGTGGGCACTGCCGGACCTCAACCGCGAGCTCCAGATCTTAGTGGGCACTGCCAGACCTCAACCGCGAGCTCCAGATCTAAGTGGGCACTGCCGGACCGCGAGCACCAGAGCTCAGTGGGCACTGCCGGACCTCAACCGCAAGCACCACAGAGCTCAGTGGGCACTGCCGGACCTCAACGGCGAGCGCCGAGCGGCGCACGCCAGATAGAATTGCCACAAAGGATGCCAGATAGAATGTCAGAATGTACGGCAGATAGAGTATCAGTTGGTGGGGATGACTCGAAAAAAGTAATTAGGTGACTTGCCCGTGGATGATCCCCCACTGCCAGTATGATTGGAGTATGTCGCCAATCATTTGAAGCGAGGTTTGAAGATGTTTGATGGCAAATGATGAGAAACTTTGACAGTGACATGCGTAGACACAGACATACACAAAGAGACACCCACACAAAGAACTTTCGGGAAACAAATGTTTGTATTAGATCCTAATATCTGCATTGGCGATGCTTTCTGTTGCTGCTAGCATAATTGGATTAGCTCAAGATTCCCAACCTCCCTGAAAAGGTTGGTGGAATATTCATAAATTAGTCACCCAATTTGTGATTGAATACCAGCAGGCTCGATGTGCAGAGACCCTGGTGCTGTTGGACGGTGCGCATGCTTTGGGACAAGTGCCTATTGATATGAAGCAACTGGCTGAAGCCGGTGTTGATGCATATGCCACTTGGTCACAGCTTAGGTCACAGTGGAACATGATCGGCTATTACAGTAAATACTTACGAAATCCTATGATTCCCTTGGTTTGCGTTGGGGCGAGAGCGATGAACATCCAAATATTCCACGCCATCAAGGGATGTTCATTTTACAGGGATTTTTTGACCCATCCCCATCCGCCCCATGTGGTTTTGTTTGAAAATAATGTATACTGTATACATACTAGTCTACCACCCGAATGGCAATTTTCAGATAGGGATGATGACTGCAAAACCATCTACTTTGGTCCAAATTGGGCCTAGCCTATTTTCAGACAAATCCAGAATATATTTTTTATGTCGTATCTACTTAATTAGTTGAATTGAGCCAAATTCGTCCGAATTTGAACTTTCTGTGAATGATTTCATGAGTTCAATGAGTAAATCAAACCCGTTTGACATTTGATTATCGTTGAAGTACCTAGGAGTACTCCTAACAGAACCTAGCTGGAAGTTTCTGTATCCTGCGAAAACAAATTTAATTCACGGTTTGCAGTTTAGTGACTATATGTAACAGTGTGTTAAATGCATCGTTTTACAAAATGCAAAAGTTGTTCCCCCATGTATAGCCGAATGATACGCAATGTTGATGTCTGTACATACATATATATATGTATGTATTAATATAAATAATTACAACTATATATATATACAGGTATTTCAATGTGTATGTGTACAATATGTACCTCACATGATAGTCACCAGTCCAACGGGATTCCGTTCTTAGCTCCTTTGCAGATGTAAGCAAATGCTGAAAGGTGACGGATGGGCATAAATGGCTCATGGCTCCAAAGGGCAGTGGTGCACTGTGGGCATCACGATCCATTCAAGACATCCTGGAACCTGCAATCATATCCTCAGACAATGCGCCAACAACCAAATTTCAAGATCGCTTTGACTACATTGGTACAAGGGATTATACCTCCTGGTGTGCCATGGGTGCAGCTTTGGACTTCCGAGAAATGCTAGGAGCCGCTGGGGGAAATATGTGTTTCAAGCAGGTTTTGAAAGCTGGTCACCTGGTCACAACTCTCAACTTAGTGGGTGTTGCCAACCATTTTGTTTCCAATTTGGCAGAATCAACATGAATCAAACACTTAAATGGCAACACGCCTTAACGTTTTGTCCACAGGTGGCGAGGAGAAGATACAAGGCTACACCTCCCAGCTGGCAGGGTGGGCTGGAAGGATGATGGCACATGCCTTTGGCACAGAAACTGTGGTGCCTTTGACGATGACTCCCTCGATGTTTGCCGTGTGCCTGCCAATACCTGCCGATTGGCCCACGGATGCTCAGCAAAAGTGTGCGGGCGTGATTGCTGGAGGTTTGATCGAAAAGTATTCCATGCAGGTGATCTCTTTCCCAGTGCATCAAAACTCAGGGAATGTGACGCATTGGATCCGTGTGTCGTCGCAAATCTACTTGGAACAGCAGGATTTCCTTGCACTGACTCACGCTGTTCTGACCCTGCGGCAGTCCTGCAAGTCTCGGGTAGGTGAAAGGTTCGGCTCTGAAGTTGTCGTTTGAGATTAAAATGCGTGCGATCAGCATCAGCAAAGTTGCCCTTACATGATTAAGCCTGCTATGATAATGTGATGCCGCAGGTGTCAGGCATGGGCATTTATAGATGCAACTGCACGCCTGGTGTCCACATCGAAAGATGTCCATCAGCCCAGGATCCCTCCGACACTGTGCATAGAGGTGCCAATGAGTGAAGGATATGGCCATATGGCTGGGATAACAGTCTCTGGAAAATGGTGTCCGGATTGCATCGATCGAGTTTATGGTGTTCACATGTGTTCACCAGTTGATGGATCCAAAGCCGTTCCTGATTTCTTGTACAAGTTTCTGCTAGCAGCTAGCACATTCCACCAACTTGAAAGAATCCACTCTATAAGAAGCACAGATGCAAGCAAGATGGCGAGAATTCTCAATGGATTGGCGCTTGCAGTTTGGTAGTAATTAGTTCCTGGTGTTCCTGTGCTATGAAAAGACCAATCAAATTTCGGGGAGGACTTAAACGAAGTTGGAAAGCCAAGACGAAAGCCAAGAACAACTGCCATGTGTGGCTATATTAATTTGATGATATTTGATGTTATTCTAGCAATTTCTTGCCCATATTCCAGGGCCGAACATATTCCATGCCAAAATAGCTGGGAAATTTCAGGGAATTGCGAAGACCCCTTTCAGGTGAAATTTGTATTTCATACAGTTTGCCAAGTATTCCTTTTCTTCTGGCACGTACGTTGTCGACTGCACATGTTCTTCCCCAAAGAAGATCCTTACTTTCAACAATTTCTGGAAATGTCATAATTAAAAATGTTGAGCTTTCCAAAAATGGATTAATAATGTTCTTATGGAAATTTGTCATCTACACTTTTCACGATCCCAAAACCCAATTCATAAGCTTTAAGCTTATGTTCTGGCACGCTTGGCTGGCCTTTCATCAGCAGCGCCATCCCCATCTTTCTTGACATCTTTGTGGCCCCGCAAAGAGCTCTGCACAACAGGATCTGGGAACACAAATCATCGACGATCCTGTTTTCTTCCGTGCAAAATAATTCCACCGATAGAGTACGATGCCACCCCTGGAGTGCGCTAATTTTCTGGAATGCGAAAATAAAACAGTATGCGTGGCCCCCTTCGACCTTCCCCATGAATCCAACACCAGTTTTTTCCATCATATACCAGAAAATTATCACATTTCACCCTGCTGAGTTTTTTTTTTCTTTTTTCTTTTTTTTGGCCAAAATTGCCTGGAATGCGATAGTATGTGCAACTACAGACGTCTCACGAAAAACCTCTACCTTTCCCATATTCCAGAAAACGTGATTCCAGGCGATTTTAGCCAAAAAAAAAACGAAAAAAACGAAAAATTACCGAGTACGAAGATTTTATGGAGTGCGAAGATCTTGCAGAGTGCGTGGATTTTATAGTATGTGCGCGTCCCTAGCTGTGGAGTGCGATGTCCCATGTGGAGTGCGAAGAATTTGTGGAATGCGAAGAATTCCGAGTATGCGTGGCTGGTATAGAGACCACATAGGGAAATTTCGCGGCCAGAACCAAAATTCCAATCCCAAAGCCGGCCCAAACTTCCAGGGGCACACCAGTGGGTTCTATTTTTCCAAGTTCACCTTGGGTGAGGTCCCGGGGAAGAAACTTGCTAATTTTTACTTAGCCAACCTTTAAAAACGTTACCTTTGACAACCCTGTCCTTCTTCTGTAGACAAATGAGGAAACTTCCTTATCAAAGCAGCCTTCAATTCATTCAACGTCCACAGCTCCTTTGGAACGACATAGGGGATAGAAAGCTGTGGAGGGGCATTCAATGGATTCGCCGTGGGCCAACTGTTCCCTCCAGATTGAGCTGAAATGCCTATCAAAGTAACATACCAAAACCCAGGTCTGGAGTACGATGAAAACATGGTATGCGAAGATTTTCTGAATATGGGAATGTTGCCTTTAGAGTTATGTGTTTTATTCTCGTAATTGTCCTGTATTTGTTCAATTTTATCATATTTCATCTATGTCTATATCCACGGTTAGATATTATGGGGTATCATGACCCTACCCTTCCCAAAAGATCGTGGCGAAGATGGCAGGTGAAAGCAGCTTCAAAAGCCCACGTGGCAAGCCAGGCTTTGTATTTGACAGCAGATGGGTGAGTGGAATTTACAGTATTTCAATCTGAGAAGCACGGTATATCAGTACATATCAATATAGTACATTATATTATCTATAATACTCTTATGAGATTATGAGATTATACATAAGTATAACTATTGTGACAATGAGATGTCATGGAGGTCTCATGACTTGTCAGAATCTCGGGCATTGAAATCTCTAGAATCTACAGATCGACCAGAATGGTCCCAGATATCCCTGGCCGTGTGGAGGTTCGCGCCGAAGATGCCATAAGGTGTGGCTGCACATCTACGACTTGGACTCGATGATGGTAGGGACACTCAGTTGTTTTTTAGCTGGGTGTTGGCTTCCCCTATGGGGAATCATTAAATAGCCAATAACAATCATGCGTCAATAGAACATGCCAATACATTGTAAATAAATACATAACATATATATATATGCTGGTTGATGTGCTTTCCCACTGATTGGTTGATGATTCAATTCCCCAATTCCACCATTGTCAAACCGTTCTGGGTAAATGGTACAGCAAATCCGATCCTTTGTTTTTCCCAGCAGGGCATTCCATGCCATTGATGTGGTCATGTTCAGGACATTTTGTGGACTCCAGTAGCAATCGTCATCCCACCAAGAAACATAGAGCCTGCAAATTACCAATTCTTAGATATTCTTGGAGGAAAGTACTCCCATGTCCTTAATATTAAACACCTCCCAGAAATACTTTAGGGGATTTACACATATTTGGGACCTTTGGGGGTGTGTTTCATATTTTAGGGAGATGGGACTAGTCTTCCAGTTGGGGTCAGCTCAAGGCCACCATGAATCAGTCCTTTCTGCAGCAGCTGGGCTTGGGAGCCTTCCATACTGGTGTCGAGGCATGGGATTTTAATGTACCATCAATAGGGATTTGATGTGGGTTTGCTACCAACTTCCTGCAGCTCCGCGTAGGTATTTTGTGCGGTAAGCTTCAAGTAGGTTTTTGTCGCGGGAAGGAGTTGCGCAGGCTTCGAGTAGGCGTATACAATACAGCTATGTCCGCGTAAGCTGTGATTGTGTTGGCATAGGCTTTGCCTAGGATTAGCGTAGGCAAACGATAAACGCAGACAGTAGAAAAAAAACACACTGCTCATGGTGGCCCATATTTACCCGTGGCAGCTCAGTCGACTCCTGATGGATTCTGAGGTATGACAACTGAACTAGTGACTTGGTACTTCTGGTTCTGATGATGTAATGATATGCATTGAGTTGGTACTTTTTTTTGATAAGGCGAGACCGCATTCATTTCCCAGGGCTGGGCTTGTGGAAATGTCCCATCCTTCCCTCATGCTGTGACAGGTCCTTGGTGATGAGTGGTACTTCCGCTGGGCTGAGAACGAAGGCTTAAGAGATGCAGCTGGGATTTGGGTTCTCCTGTCATATCTTTTTGCTCCGTTGTTTGAATCTGGTGTGGTTTCAAACGTTTTCTATTGTTGATCCCTAGCAAATGGATGCAAATGGGATGATGTTTCCTGCATTTTCCTGCCATTTCCTGCATGACAAAATACTTGTCCGGAGCAGTCAAGCCGTGATCAAGAAGCAATGGCTTTATAAATGTTCTGCGTGTGAAAGGTGTCTAGCGGCCTGCCCTGGCCAACTTTCTTTCGGAGCAGATTTCCTGCAAAGTGTTTTGCGCAGACCAAAGATATGAGGGCTTGCGTGGTAATCATGGTGCCGAACCCGAAGCAACTTGCGTGTCTCGAGTCAAACAATTTGAACCAGTTTGGATCTTCTAAGCTATATTTGACCCTAAACATCCCTAACCAATGCCTATCCAACTGTCATCCTTGGCATATAATTATCGTGATAGCTGCAAATTTGGTTCCTTGGGAACTGATCCTTCGGCTTCGCAGAATCTGGTGTGGTGTGGATGAGACCACAAGTGCACCAAGCAGGGTATCCCAGGTCATGGTAGGCCATCCACCTGCCCGACATTGCTTTAATGGGTGGTACCTTGTGGTACGTTCAAGAGTGATATGGCTTAAAAATGGCTCAAGTGACATGGGGTTGAAGATGTTTTTGTTTTTGTGCGTGGCACAGACATGTTACTTGTGGGTTGTAGGATGTTGTATTGATTTCTTTGTGACAGGAGCCTTTCCAAGCTTAGATTTTCGGGTCAGTGCAATGAAATGTGTTGAAATGTCTATGTGATTCTGCATATTTCGAACCGGACCTTCCTCATTCCTAATAGTTGACCCAATTTGGTCTAAAAACCAAGTATAAAAAGAGTAGATTTGCAACTTGGAATCTCAAACAAATCAATGTTGCAACGAGGAAACCCGTACTTGTATCAAACAGCTCTAGAGACATACTCTGAAATACTTTGATTTTGTGTTTCTTTGCGCAGTTGCATAAGCTCGGGAATACATGTTCACTTTGGTTCATCTCCTTTTCATCCAAGCGCTGAACTCCAAGGTGCACATCTACAGAGAATCCATTGACCTGGGCTTTTCTGAGCTGACCGAGGGTCAGATTCGCACAGTGGCGTCTTCAGATCAGCGATCAAAGGCGACGGCTCCATTTGAATTGGGGATGTAATGTATGTTCCAGGTTCTGGGTCCCCCCCCACCCATGGTCAGGGTACTCAGGGTATCCTCCCTCCCCCTGTGGGTTTGGGTTGGGGTGGGATATGCTGTGTGGGGAATATATAATAGCCGGTGCATCCAAATAAGTGGGATACATAGGTGCTGTATGGTAGTGTGTGTGTAGTACATAGGTGATGTCGATCTATTTGCAACCGTGTCATACAGGTTGTATATAGGCAGTGTATATGTAGTAATGTACAGTACATATAGTATTATAGGTAGCAAGTAGGTACTATAGACAGACATACACAATGTATACAAACACACACATGATCATACATGTACATATTTATCATGAGCGTGAGGTATCTAGGTAGTGTATGTGGTTACCCCCTCCCCCTGTGGTG